CTAAGCTTCGCTTTGTGTATATATTGTTTGATAATGACTATGTTTTTCGGGCCGGCGATCCTGGTCCTGGTCCTGGTCCAGGACCATAAGATAGACCAGGTTTATCGAGGACAGAGTCTATGTGATTATTTGAAAGTTGAAGCAACTAAATAAAATCTAAGCTTCACTTTGCGTATATATTGTTTGATAATGACTATGTTTTTCGGGCCGGCGATCCTGGTCCTGGTCCTGGTCCTGAACCATAAGATAGACCAGGTTAATCGAGGACAGCTAATCGAGGATTATTTGAATGTTGAAGCAACCAAATAAAACCTAAGCTTGGCTTATTGTTGTGCGTTGTTTTCTGTGTGCGCAGGCGATGGCGCGGAGGACCAGCTACTGTCCACCCACCTCCCCCCCGGCCGCCACGCCACGCTGCCCCTGGCCAGCACGCAAGCACAGTCCCAGCCCCACCTACACACGCCCTCCCCGACACACTACCCCACCTACCCCGGACAGTGACACAAACACACGCACACGCAGCAGACGTGGACAACCGAGCACACGCCGTCTCACATGCATGCAGGCTGAAGACCCACACACTCTCTTCTCCGATATTATTCGAATAGCCCTAGCCCTGCACCTCAAGGGACTAGCCGGAGGGGCTGAACTGTAGGCAGGAAAACCCCTGCTCAGAGTGGGTTTCCGTCCACGACTGAATCTTGGAGGAGACAGAGTTACGAGATGTTCTTCCACACTCAGGCCGAGGAACCGGCCTGAAACTTCGTAGCAGTTTGTATCGTCCGCTGTTTGAACACTAGGAGCTTGTCAGTGTGCTTTAAACCAACAGGTTTGTCTTAAAGATGGGATGAAGAACCATTTTCACTTTATTTATATGGCAGGTTTTGTATACTTGTTATTCAGCTTCACCTGGATGGGATTTTTCAAGTTATTTTTTCCTCCTCTGCGTTCGTCATATACAGGTATGTGTGGGATTGGAGTTTGAACTGAACCCTGTGTAAAAACTAGCACCGGAAGTAGTGTTCGTTATGTCTAGACTTTGCCAGCTCGTGAGAAAATTCTTCATTTCATGGTTCAAAGAATGACTCAAATAAGCCTTATGTTAGTTTTAAAGAGAGACATTTAAGAATGGAGTTTTCTTAAAACGGACATAAACGGAATTTCTTGAAAATTTCCTTGAAAAAAATCTAGATTTGTACAGGCAGTTGTATTTTTTTTGCCCCCACCTTTGTGAATATTCGTTTTTACTTGTTTGATGACAAGCTAGTTTATTTAAAACATTTGTAGACCTGCCCACTAAAAAAACTAAGTTCTTGAATCTTGGCATTTCACTTTCTGGGGAATTCATTAACTGCCAATTTTAGTCCAGTTTTTTGTAGTCTTCATTTTAATGTGTGTACAGAGAGGGGTGGTCTGATGGATGTCATGGGTTTTCGTGGGCGGGGTGGACGGCTGCCGGACCAGGGCTTCTCGGTGCCTTAACAGCACCACACGGACCGTGCTACCGCTGAAAATAAAACCGACACCAGATTTCTTACATGGCTTGTACAAACCGATGCCTTTGGTTGGCTTCCACTAGTTGTAACTTATCAGTTACGTGGTCTCATTTCTGATGTTCTGAAATGCTCCTAATTGGAGATTGATACTGTGATATTTGATTGGTTTGGATGCTGTTGCCATTATCCGCATGCTTGTACTCAGCTATATTTGCACAACCCTGTTCTTTTGAATTCAGGGTCTATAGTGGCCTACTGATCGGTAAAGTTCACAGATGAACTTTAGGTTGGTGACAGACCACGCGTATGATGCATTGCCAATATTTGACAGTTTGAATGTCAGATATTTAATGATTTTTTTCAAAGTTTTCTTTCTCAAACGATGGACGAAAGGCTAGAAAGTGAAAACTTTCCACTGGAAAACCCAAAAGCCAGAATGGAAACCGTGTAGAGACATTGACGTCCACACACTCTCTAAAGGGCAGTGGAACAGAAAAACACAGCCTGAGTGTACTGAGGGGGGGATTTTTGTTAACTCTAAAAGAAGCACTTGCACAAGGCCCACTTAGGAACCCTCAAATGTAGCAACAATGAACCATACGACACATTTCCTGATAAGCCTACCCTCTGTCAGATCTTTATGTTGCTCTGAGTGAGTTGTTAAGGGGTCAGGACCAAGTCTGCATAGGGCTATAACTCCCAGAAGGCATCTTTCTCTAAAGTATGTGTTGTTGCTAACATGTCTGTCTGTATTTAGACTGTTGTTGTTTTCACTGAATCTTACAACGAGTTATGGCTCCGAGGGCATTCTCCTTTCAAATAAAGTGGTAAAAATCTCGCTGACTTGAGAGCATTGGTAATTATTCAGGTAAGTAGAGGGTTAGAAATAATGACATACCTCAAATAATAATAATTCTAATGGTTATTATTGTCCTCATTCACATGGCCATGTGTTAGCTAAACGTATCTCATAATGCATGTCATGTTGGTTTATTCTGGTTTTGACAAACTGGATCATCTGATTGATTCAGATCCATTTCTGAAGCTCTACTTTTGAAAATGTAAAGTTACAATTGTGTGTTTTTTCCAGCCCACTCAGTCTTGTCCCCCATCTGCCATCATGATTTTGCCACATGTTTTATTTGCATGACAAATTTAGTTTGGACAGCAGAGCTCAGCAGGTGTGTGTGTGTGTGTCCTGAATAAGTAGAAAACCCTAATATCTGCACTGTACGCTCTAGTTGAGTCAGTCATAGGATCTGTTAGTCATCCAAGTCCTGACAAACAGGGCTAAGCATTTTGATAGGGGTCAACTTTATCTGTACATTGTTTAGATTGTGTTGTGTTGGGATTGACATGAGTTTTCCCCCCCCTGAGGTTGGGACCACTGCTATTTATTTTTATGGTGGGTGAAAGAGAGTCTTCATATAGAATAAAGACAGACCAGTCTCTATTCTGTGTCATGCTGGTTCTACGCTGCTCTTTTTCATGGTCTAACTGGAGGGCTGGTGGATAAAACAGCTGAGCTTATCAGTTTGTACCCGATACATCGATTTTAGAGGGATTCTCAAGGAGTTCTTCTTGAAGCCCATGAGTAGAGTGTGAAGTGTTTCCCTTAACAAGGGAAGCCGGCTGTCACAACACTAGAAAAAAAGTGATGGGTGAAATATATTATCTGGACAAATCATGTTCAGCACAAGCTTTCTGACATTGCGCGTAATTTTTATGAAGTTGGAAGGAATTGAGTGTAGCCTGACTATTCCTGTTAAAGACAACATTTTTAGAAAACAGGGCTTTAGAGGTTTGGCTTTGCATGTGATGCTGTTTTGTGGATCAGCCCTCCCATCTGACAACAGCGTTTGCAGCAGCTTATAGGACTCAAAAGGTTTCCCCCCCGTTTCTGGATGCTCCTGACAGATCCAGACCCTCGCACCATCTGGTTGTCTCACACAGACAGTCACCTTTCAGTCCTGGCTCTTGAATTTGTAAGTGATGACAAAAATGTCATTTCCAGGTGCATGTTTTTGGGGGGAAATAAAGACTTGTTGGTGCAGGTTTCCTTGTTGATGTCACTCCACTGGATGTAATCTTTGTCACTACAGCAGAACCCCAACTTACGATCGCCTAAACATACAAATTTTCCAACATACGAAGTGAAATTTTATCAAATATTTGACTCGACACCCGAAGTCATAGAAAAAAAAAAGTAATTTAATAAAATAAAATAAAAAGCTAAGTTAGTGTAAAGTTCACGTTGTGAAAGTTAGAGTAAGTTCCGGTACATTCTGTATCTGAGTCACCACCTCTGCCCCCATTCGCCAGTCTCTAAGGTAAAATGCCAATAAAACCCCCTTTTTATTGATTATTTCTTTATAATTTATTTCTTTTTTACATATCTCTTTTATATAATGCATTTGTTTTATTGCTATGTGTTATTATTTGCAGTATTTATTAAAGAGTTATCGTCAGTTTTTGGGCTGTGGAACGAATTATACGAATTACAGTGTGTTCTGATGGGAATATTTGAACAAACATACATATTTTAACATACGAAGTAGGTCCCGGAACGAATTAAATTCTCATGTAGAGGTTCTACTGTGCTTTGTTACCTGTAGAAACAGTTACTAAATGTTTTTATTTTATTTATATTATTGTAGACGCTTTTATCCAAAGCAACTTACAAGTAGGGGGGCACCAAGCGTTGAATTGGGGGCCTCTTGATCTGCATTTAAATGTTCTACCACTGAGATACATCCAAATGTGTCAGATGATCCCTCACTGCTTCAATAATGTGGAGCTCCGGGCTCTGGGGAGGATTCATCCCTCCGTCAGAGCTGCTGCCGCTGGTTTTCGGTCCACTTCCTGTGTCCTTTCCTCCCTCTTTTCATTCCTCCGCCCTTTTGTAGACAGAAGTCGTGAGGAGGCTTTGGTAAACAGTCAGTAGATCATTTGAAAGGCCTTATACATGGTCCTGGGACAGGTTTATTTTTTAGTTCTGGAGAACATTTGTTTGATTAGGTTTTCTCCTGTCCTACCAATATTTTAAATTAGAAACTGCTCATCTTTCATTATTATTTTCAGAATTGCATCCTCTAATGCAGGACACTTTAGGTTTGCTAGCAGCTCACACTGGATTTAATTTACGAGTCGCATGTATTTGGAAATGTGAACGTCCACAAAAAAAAAAAAAGGATTTTACTTTTTTTGGGGGGGACTGCAATGTGATCGTAGCCCTGGAATGTGTCCTCTGTTGTGTTCCTTCACATGCTGAGTAGACCAAACACTTCAGGGACAGCAGGAAGTTCTTCACAATGCTTATCAGGGGCTGCATCCACATGCACATTCAGGTCCCTGTAATGACCCAACAATCCAAATCAGAGCACACAACTGAAAGTCATTCAGCAAAATCATCGATGAAAACTCTTCGGTGGATTCTGTGCACATCCCACAAGGGCTCTGGCATCCTCATGGGTTCTGCTAACGGGGCTTTGTAACAGGATTCAAGGGGAATCCTTCCAACAGGAAGCCGGGATAAGACTTTTCCCTGAGGGGCCGTTGGAACCAGTTGCCCTCTAAACAGAACCTTTCCCATCAGAACCCCCTAACGACCATTGACACCTCCCAGGTGACCTCTATGGCCCATCCAGTAGGAGGGATCAGAGCCACCTTTGTTTTTTTGTTTTTTTCTCCCATAATTCTTTAGTTCCACCTACAGTATATTAATCTCAGAGCTCCACCATCAGTTAGAGCTGATGAAGCCTCTCGGACTAGAGGCCAAACGTCACCTCCAGCTGCCTAACTGAACTTTTTCAAGCTTGACCACGAAATGAATCTTCACAGATATGTTCCTGACATCCCTGGTGCCATCCAATCAGGCCTGGGCAATGCCGTCCCAGCCTAAGAGGAGGTCAGACACTCATGCAAATCAGATGAATGGATTGAAATGTTTAAAAGTTGAAGGCATAAAAGCTCATTTGACCTTATAAACGTAACTCTTCAGGATAATCATGTTTCTTGCTGGGTCTGACTCGAGGACTGCAAAAAAGGAAAAGGCACATGAGGTCATTTCTGGCTGGCTGCAGTACCCCGCCTCACCAGTAGGTGGGGGCAGTGCGCCATAACGAGGTTTTACAGCCGTCGGCGGACACCCAGAAGAAAAAAGAAGTTAGGTCCAGTGTTTTGTTCGCTGCGGGCTGTCAGCGGGCACGTTCTTCTGGCTTTTTCCGGTCAGCCCAGAGGTTTAAACGCCACACATCTGCTGCTGTCCGCTTTTTGCGTCACAAAGAAGGGAAATGGGCCGGAAAGCGACCGTCGCGACGTGCTCCCTGAACCAGTGGGCTCTGGACTTTGAGGGCAACGCGGAGAGAATACTGAGGAGTGAGTAGATGTCTAAACCTTAAAAGTACTTTTGAAGGCTGTGTCAGGTTGCTGTGCACGACACAAACCACTGGCGTGACCCCACGCCAGTCCACTAAAGGCAGGACACGCCCACACAGTCCTCCACCTGCCGCAACGTGCCATTTAATGACGACAATAGAACCGAGTAGCTTCTGGCTGCAGTCTATAGGACGCCTCGGTTGGATATCCAACTCCGCCCACATCCAAGTCGGCCATTTTTACTAGGTCATATAGAAGCAAACGACTTCCTAACCCTTACCCTGACCCTGACCCTAACCCTAACCCTGACCCTAACCCTCCATCATTCAAAATTGTGGGAAATAAATATTTTTTGGGTAGTTTGGACCTATTTGACATACACAATTTTATAATATTACGTATAGGGTTTAATTCAGTTTCTGCAAGATAAAAGTCACTATTTTTAAATGAATGTCTATATTGCCATGAAGCAATTACGATTTTCTTGCCTGGGATTTTCCTATGGTGACGTAATCAAAATGGCCGACTTGGATGTGGGCGGAGTTGGTTATCCATCCGTGGCTTCCTACAGTCTGCAGCGATATGTATTTGATAGGACCTGGACGTTGTGAAACACGTTTTTTTTTTTTTTCAACTCATACCGACACACTGCATGTTTATGTTTATGCTCATCACAAAACTTCTTTCTCCAACAAGTGTGCAGAACACCGTCAGCTCATTGTTTGCAGTTTGTGAGGTTTGTGAAGTTTGTCTACTGTACACAAAGCTGTAGTGACCTTTTTCCCACGGCTCATACTCATGCTTCTCCCATGGCTGTTTCCTTCTTCTTAGGATCATGACTGTGTTCAGCCATAGTGTTAGTCCCAATTCTTTAGTTGGAAACCTGAGAATAAACCAAAAAAAAGGACATTTATTAGGTAACAGGCAAAGTATTACAGGGCTGGGCTATTCACAGACAAGAACCTCTCTCCAAAGATCTCAGTCGGCAAAAAGCCGTCACTACTAAGCACTTATTGGCCAGTTACTTACTACCCTAACCCCGACATGAACTGGCCAGGTCCTAATTAATGCAGATATAACCTTGGAATGTGGTAACAAAGTTTGTGTGTGTGTGGTTGACCTAATGACTAAAAAAGAGAATCTGTGGTTACAGCCAGAGAATATAACACAAAAATATAGTTCTAAAAGGACAATCTATAATTGACATAGATCATGTTATGGCATACTATGCTAAAGTGAGTAGTGATAACTGGATTCTAACAATAGCATCGCCACATTTGTTTCCCCATCACAAAACATTCAGACCCTGTTGTCTACTTGTCTGTCTGCAGGTGTTGAAATTGCTAAGGCGCGTGGAGCCAAATACAGACTGGGTCCAGAGCTGGAGATATGGTAAGAATCGTACCTCTACGCGTTCTTCACAAATGATTCCAGTGGGGCTTGTTCCAAGTTAGTGTCCCTGTGAATGCGGGGCTCGCCAAAGGAAAACAGGCCCACGAACCACTCGGTAAAACTGTAATCTCCTCCGTCGTTTGACAGTGGCTATGGCTGTGCAGACCACTTCTACGAGTCGGACACGCTGCTCCACAGCTTTCAGGTTTTGCGGACCCTGCTGGAGTCTCCCGTTACCCAGGACATCATCTGTGACGTTGGAATGTAAGTGCTCTTGCTCTGCTTGAGGCAATTTAAAACCCAGAAGGGCCAAAGTATTTAGAAAGGCCTGGTTTAATAAATCTGTTAACAAGACTGCTTGTAATAAGCTGAAATGGAAGAAACACAAGTGGACAGATGAGTTCTCTGTTTGTGTAGCCATGGCTGTGTTTCTATACAGTGACTCTATGTGACCTTTGACCTGTTTGGTCTTCCCTCAAGGCCCATCATGCACCACAATGTGCGCTACAACTGTCGCGTCCTGTTCCTCAACAGGTGAGCTCAGCACCTCAGTCTGAGGCTCGGACAACATTAAATGTGTTAGTAGCCTTATTGGAATCTCTCATTCTGCCATTTTCTTCCTCCACCCTGTAGAAAGATACTGCTCATCAGACCCAAAATGCTGATGGCCAACCAGGGGAACTACAGAGAAATGCGCTGGTTCTCACCATGGAACAAGCTGAGGTGAACATAACATACTGTTGCACATTTTAAGTCCACTTGATTGTTTTTCTCTGTTTGCAACCAACTGATTTATGAACTTACAACAGTGGTAGATGTAAACTTTTGTAACTTGAACTAACTTTCTTAGTCTTATTGTGAAGTGAACGCAGTCGTGCTGGTCAGTAGCAAACAGCGTGCCATCACAATGTGTCACCCTCTAGAGCCAAATGACAGAGTAGAGGGACATTTTATAGAAAAACTGATAGTTCAGACAAGCTTTCCAACAACAGAGGAGAGATGTGACATCAATATCCTGTTTAACCCTTCATGTAGGTTTACTTTTAAGGTCAAGGCACTCATCTTTGACTCAGTGGCCCCTCGTTGTGCTGTGAGCATGCCTTCTCAAATGTTTTCTTACTCACGGCACAGAATTATCGTGGGGAAGAAAAGTAGTAAAGGGCTTGATTTCTTTCCCCCTTTTTGTAACTGTTCAGTTGAACTGAAAGTGTCGCTGACCCCCTGTGTCTTATTTGGTTTGTTTGACTTTATGCACTTTCTAAGACAGGTGGAGGAGTATTTCCTGCCCAGGATGATCCAGGAGGTCACAGGCCAGGTAACACATGGTGACTTGATGTTTGCTGAGGCCTTTGGAAGAAGCTGCTTATGTGATGCCATCACTGGGCAGAGCAACGCCACTGACAAGTTACTGACAGGCTACTGACAGGCTACTGGCAGGCTACTGGCAGGCTACTGGCAGGCTACTGACAGGCTACTGACAGGCTACTGACGGGTTACTGACAGGCTACTGACGGGTTACTGACAGGATACTGAGGACTACTGACTGACTACTTACAGGTTACGGACGGGCTACTGACAGGCTACTGACAGGTTACTGACAGATTACTGACAGACTACTGACGGGTTACTGACAGGCTACTGACAGACTACTGACGGGTTACTGAGGGAGGCTATTGACAGTTACTGACATGCTATGACGGGTTACTGAGAGAGGCTATTGAAAGTTACTGACAGACTACTGACGGGTTACTGACAGATTACTGACAGGCTACTGACAGACTAGTGACGGGTTACTGACAGGCTACTGACGGGTTACTGACAGGATACTGAGGACTACTGACGGACTACTTACAGGCTACGGACAGACTACTGACGGACTACTGACGGGCTACTGACGGGCTACTGACAGGATACTGACGGGCTACTGACAGGCTACTGACAGGTTACTGACAGACTACTGTCAGGTTACTGACAGATTACTGACAGGCTACTGAGAGAGGGTACTGACAGTTACTGACAGACTACTGACAGATTACTGACAGACTACTGACGGGTTACTGACGGGTTACTGACGGGTTACTGACAGGCTACTGACAGACTACTGACGGGTTACTGAGAGAGGTTATTGACAGTTACTGACAGGCTATGACGGGTTACTGAGAGAGGCTATTGACAGTTACTGACAGACTACTGACGGGTTACTGACAGATTACTGACAGGCTACTGACAGACTACTGACGGGTTACTGACAGATTACTGACGGGTAACTGAGAGAGGCTTTTGGCAGTTATTGACAGGCTACTGACAGACTACTGATGGGTTACTGAGAGAGGCTACTGACAGTTACTGACAAGATATTGACAGGCTACTGACGGGTTACTGAGAGAGGCTACTGACAGGCTCCTTACAGGATACTGACAGGATACTGACAGGCTACTGACAGGCTACTGAAAGGCTACCGACGGGTTACTGACAGACTACTGACAGGCTCCTTACAGGATACTGACAGGATACTGACAGGCTACTGACAGGACACTGGCAGACAACTGACAGGCTACTTATGGACTACTGACAGGCTACTGACGAGTTACTGACGGGCTTTTAAGCCTTTTTTCTTAAGAGCGTGTTCTCTGCGTTCTGCAGGATACGGTCCCATTCGGTGACTGTGTTCTCTCCACAAAGGACACCTGCATAGGTACCGAAATCTGCGCAGAGCTCTGGAACCCAAACAGGTACAGTAGAGCAATTCAGCACAGCAGAAGCTCGTAGACAGAGCTGACTGGAGAACCCTTTTGACTTTGAAAGACTGATTCTATCCTCCTCAGTCCCCATATTCAGATGGGGCTGGATGGGGTGGAAATCTTTACTAATTCATCGGCCAGTCACCATGAGCTCCGCAAAGCTGACCAAAGAGTCAACCTGATCAAGTCAGCCACCTTGAAGGTGAGACCTCAGGGCGTATATTTGTTGAAGCAAAGGAAAAGAATGGAGGGATCTTTTTTTTTCTTCAATGGCTGCTCTCTGTTTGGGTCTTTGAATCATGACACATGAAATCCGGTGTTTTCTAATGTTTCAGAGTGGTGGGATATACCTGTATGCCAACCAGAGGGGCTGTGATGGAGACCGTGTCTACTATGACGGCTGCGCCATGGTAGCCATCAATGGAGACATTGTAGCCCAGGGAGCCCAGTTCTGCCTCAACGATGTGGTGAGATCACACATCTACTTAACAAACGGTTGTCAGAACCCCTGAAAAACGGATATTGTTTTAGCGTCACACCCCAAACTGCTGCTGTGTTGGTTCTTTACTGATGTGTTTCTGTGCTTTGTAGGAAGTCATTACCGCTACTCTGGATCTTGAGGATGTGAGAAGTTACAGAGGAGAACTATGCCAACCACACATGGTGAGAACAATACCAGCCATCCCTTCAAACTCCTAAAGCATTTGCTACTTATTTAGTTTCTTCCCTAAAAGCTGGTCCTTACCATGTTGTTTCAAGTCATGGTTGCTGTTCATTTGAGCTGTGTCAGATGAAGCTAAAATCTGGAGCACTGGGAACATTTATCCTGCTTCATGTCTACATACAAACTTCAGCATAAGCAAGAAGACATGAAGGCTGCAGGACCGGCCTACCTAACTCGATTCCTGCACAGAGAATGCACATTCCAGCTTATACTCAAGCACTGATTCTGCAGTGCACATTGCTTTTTTTCTGCTTTCCTCTTGGACTGACACACACCCACACACATGCTCCTAAAGGTGATGAGAAAGCATGACAACCTGATCGGGTTTACATTTCCATTTCTGTATCTAGCAGACACTTTTATCCAAAGCAACTTACAAAAAGAGGGTTTAACATTCCACTATAACACCAGTTCAACGCTTGCCTTACCTTAAGTGCTATATGATAGAAGAGGATTTAACATAGGGTGCTATATGCTATCAGGAAATAAGTGCATTTTGCGCTTTAGGACCAGAGATACCCCTGACGAGCTGGGCCTTCAAGGATTTCTGAAGGAGGAAAGAGAATCTGAGGCTCTGATTGTGCCTTTGGCTCTGTTGCATCAGAGCTAATCTAAAGTAAATTCCAGACTTTTTCCCCACACATAGGACACTGCGGTATGCAATGCGGTGCACCAAAAATAGTATACCTATGAAATTCATGAGTACTATATATTCTGCACTATAAGGCACACCTAAAAGCTTCAGTTTTCTCAAAAACCAACAGTGCGGATCAAGATTGAGCCGGTTTTCTCCCATAGAAGGAGCGCGTGGTGCATGCTGGGACCAGATACAACAGACACAAGGTTCATTTTGGTCTTTTTGCTCCGTTGTAGGAAAGTGAACCCAAACCCTGTCACAGGATCAAAGTTGACTTCTCTTTATCCAGTGGAGATGACATCTACCTTCCCACCCACCAGCCCATACAGTGGCACTTTCACACACCGGAAGAAGAGATCAGGTAGAGATACATGTGTGGACGTCTTTCACTCTACTTAAAAAGCTTTCAGGTGTTGACCCCTTGTGTTGTTCAGCCTAGGGCCGGCCTGTTGGCTTTGGGACTACCTGAGGAGAAGTGGACAGGTCAGCCCGGCGTCCCGGCACGAAAACCAAGCATGCCTGTAGTTTTTTTTTTTTGACCTTGCAAACTGTTGGTGCTGGTTTGTGTTTCAGGCTGGCTTCCTGTTACCTCTCAGCGGCGGCGTTGATAGTTCCTCCACGGCGTGCATCGTTCACTGTATGTGTGTGCTGCTCTGCCAGGCCGTAGAGGACGGCAGTAAGTACAACCCACTCTGCAAACACACAATTACACCTCTGAAGAGAGAGGTGGTCATTTGTAATTCAATTCAGCTTTATTGATATAGCACAGCAAATGAACACTACAAAGTCAACTTCAAGCCAGTTTGAGTCCAGTTCATTGGAATACAATCAGTATCTTTCTTAAGTTAAATTAGTTGAGTTAGACAACAATCATGTCACAGATAGGGTTGTCACGATGCTAAAATGTTCTAACTCGATACCGATACACAGGAAAATATTCAACACTATACCATTTTCGATACCACAGGGAAAAAACAAATACCCCAAAATGTAACTTAATTTCGATAGGTTAGTGTCTTTCGTCTCAAACCCATCTGCTTCCTGAACCCAAAATGGTTCCACAGAGAGGAGAGGGGCCTGATAGCTGAAGGTTCCTCCTCCTGTTTTGCTTTAAAAATCCAGGAACCACATGTGGTTCTCAGTAGAACTGTGGATCAGCTGGATGCTTTTCACAGTGACCTTTTGGGAAGCCCAATAAAAAAAAAAACATATATATTTGTATACATACAAAAAAGTATTTATTCAGCCAGTGATTGAGGAAAGTCTCCTGCTTAGAAAGAGCTGTCTGGCGTGGTCCATGTCTGAATTTGAGTCTGGCTGTTTGAGACTATGGACAGGAGTCTTTAATACAGACGAGCTCAAACAGGTGTCTTTAATACAAGTAACGAGCTCAAACAGGTGCCATTAATACAGGTAACGAGTGGAGGACATAAGAGCTTCTTAAAGGAGAACTCAGAGGTCTGTGAGAGCCACAAGTCTTGATGTTTGTTGGTAACCAAATACTTATTTTCCACCACAATTTACAAATAATGTCTTTGAAAAACCTACAATATGATTTCTGGGTTTGTTGGCCTCTCACAGTTTAAGGGTACCTATAATGAGCATTACAGACCTCAATGACAGCCACTGATTGTACAACAGAGCTGGAACAATCAGTGGCCTGCCACAGCCTTTTTTGCATTGATCTTCCACTGAAGGTTTTCCCTTAAAGAGCAGCATTTTGTCCAGCCCGATTAAGACTGGAATGCCTGATGACTCTAAATAGTTTGTAGATGAAAAACAAACGGAAGCTGTTATTTTAAAAAAAACGTACATTTGCTGGCCTTATGCTGACACTCAGACTTCCCGTCCGGTTCCTAAATGACACCGAGTCGGACGCATTTGACCGAGCATATTTCTGTCTCTCTTTCCTCTAACAAAGGAGGGAAGCAGGATTTCTCCTCCCTTGTACATATTTTAGTCACTCAAATCTCGGCGCTGTGTTGCTTCCTTGTATATTTGTTTGTTTTTGCTGTTTGTACTTTATGCACCTTTTCCTCCTTTTGAACTCTCTTTAGTCACTAAACCGATGTGTGACCAGTGAATTTCTCCACTGTGGGATCAATAAAGCTCTTATCTTATCTTCTGTTGACCTCTCTCCTTGTCTTAGACGGCCAGGTACTAAAGGACGTCCGCAGGGTGGTCGGGGATGACTCTTACAGTCCAGAGCATCCAAAGGAGCTGTGCGGGCGCCTTTTCACCACCTGCTACATGGCCAGTGAGAACTCCTCCAAGGATACATGCAGCAGGGCCAGAGACCTGGCCGGCCAAATCGGCAGGTACGAAAATATTGATCCTGTATTATCATGAAATGTTTAGAACTCACTACTGATTGTCCTGGAGATTAAGTCCTCAACAGTAGTCGGTAGCAGAGAGCATGCCGACTCATTTAGACACATACAGATGTTGTTTTTTTTGCGTTTTTTGCAGCACACATCTGGACATCAACATCGACATGGCAGTGAAAGGCGTCCTGGGCATCTTCTCGGCCGTAACGGGGCGGTGGCCCAAGTTTCGCGCCCACAGTGGAAGCCACAGAGAGAACCTGGCTCTGCAAAACGTGCAGGTCTTTCTGCCCGGTCATCATTAGATGTCACTTCATCTGACGCGTCAGCACTTTTTCCCCTCTCGGTTTCTCACCTCCGGCCCTCGGTCTGCTTTTTTTTCTGTCTTCCGCTGGCACCCATTCAGTGACAGTTAAACCACAGTGCTGATGGTGATGCTGACTTCCTGTTGTAGAGAGCCTGTTCAGAGCTTTCAGGGTTAGGGCTAAGCTAATGTCGATGTTAGTTTCTTAGTTCTTTATCGTGTCAAACAAAGAGGAGATGGAAACGGTTGTTTTTCTGTTCAACAGGCCCGGGTAAGGATGGTGTTGGCCTATCTCTTTGCCCAGCTGAGTCTGTGGGCCCGTGGTAAACCCGGCGGGCTGCTGGTGCTGGGCTCTGCTAACGTCGACGAGAGGTACTACTGGGGTTGTGCTCTCTTTGTACATGTATAGATGTATATATGAGCAGATGTGGAACAATTATGGAGCACCCTGTGAAGCCTGCTTGTAAAAGGAGAGATAAAAACCATCAAAACACCCAGTATAATTCCGGGCCACAGAAGCTAACTAAACAGGCAAAACGCCACTGGATTGAAATAAACGAGCCCCGATAAGTCACACTGGAGCTGTGCAAGATGCTCAGATGTTGTGAGTGTTCTCTTAGCAGGGCCTGTTCTCATTGGGGGAGCACACCACAGGAGAGAGATCAGCCTAAGCCTTTCAAACCAGAGGCATCAGTAGCTTAATTATGACCGGTGCAGACGTGTTAGCCAGTTTCTAGGGACTCTGACTATATTTTCAGAGACAACTGAAAATAGATTGAGTCAGTGAACTCCTCTATGGAAGAAAAGCAATTTTTTTCATGGGAGCACATTTAGATGGACCAGCAGGAATTTATTTCATCCACACAATCAGTGTCACACCAGCATGCGCATAATGTATATGTGTTCGGACATACGCTCTCTTTGTGGAGGAAAGCGAATGACCGGCTCATCTCCAATTCAGCCTCACAGGATACTTCACGAAATACGACTGCTCCAGTGCGGACATCAACCCCATCGGAGGCATCAGCAAGACGGACCTGAAGGGCTTCCTGCTGTACTGCGCCGAGCACTTCCAGATCCCGGCTCTCAGAGGGTGGGTCACCTCCTCTCAACGTTTATACTTATAAGTTTATACTTATCCCGGACAAGAACATTTAAGTGATTTTTTGTTTTGTTTTTGTTTTTGTGCAGGATCCTGGCTGCTCCGCCCACAGCCGAGCTGGAGCCGCTGACGGACGGACAGGTGTCACAGACGGATGAGGTGAGGCTTCAGCATGCCTGAGGGCCTTTTGACCACCTAGCTTACTGGGATGCTTTCACACATAGGATTACTTTTTTATATACACAACTTTGATTGTGCAAGTTTTCCACTTAGGAAGTTGAAAGGTCTGTTAGCCTCATCGTAGATACATTTCAACTATGAGAGGCAAAAATGAGAAGAAGAAATCACACTGTAGCTCCAGCTCAAAACCCCACTGTGCTCTCACAGTGGCACGCTGTTTTTTTAATCTTCTGCCTCAAATTTGATGGGATTTTCTAATGGATTTTCTCTCCTGTGTACCAGGTAGAAAAATGGTCGTGGGCAGTAATCAGCAGCATGTTACATAAATTTAGTTTCATTTTGATTAGTTGTTGTATTCAGGGTGCCGTTTCGCTTGCGTCTGCCTCTTAAGAGCTGTCCCCTCCACCACAGGCTGACATGGGGATGACCTACTCGGAGTTATCGGCGATTGGACGACTGAGGAAAATTTCCAAGTGCGGCCCCTTCAGCATGTTCTGCAAACTCATACACATGTGGAGGGACGTCCTCTCGCCCACAGAGGTGAGTGACCCCAGTCACACCCCGTTTCCGTCCAGAGATTATCTCTAGGAGCTGGATGTAAATTTCTGTGGCAGAAATCCAAATCTGAGATCAGCATAGTCTCATGCCCGAGCATCGTCCCATCCCCGGGATGCTGCCGGACCCCGGTGCATGTGTGAAGGTGCTCAGGGCTCCGTGGATGGTCAAGGCTGTAAGCAGACTGCCATCTGTTTTTTTAAGGTTGCCCGGAAAGTGAAACACTTCTTCCGGATGTACTCGGTGAATCGCCACAAGATGACCACAGTGACTCCGTCCTACCACGCGGAGAGCTACAGTCCCGATGACAACCGCTTCGACCTCCGCCCCTTCCTCTACAACACGGGCTGGACCTGGCAGTTCAGGTGCATCGATCAGCAGGTGATCAGCGACACACACACACACATACACACACACACACACACACACAGACTAACCTCAAGACAGAACGGAAGCCATCCTAAAGCTGACACAACAAGCCAGTGACAGACAAAGCTGACTATGAGCTATAGGCTTGTCCAGATCCAATATTTGGATCAGATCAATCGCCGATATTTGCAAAAAATGCGTATCGGCCAGCATGAGAAAATGCAGATCTAGACTCCCGATCCAGGATTTTTTTTTTTCTTAAGTCAGATCCCACACGAGAATTAGCATCTCCTAACCCAGAGGTCTGTGTCCTAACAATTAAGTTGTTATAAGAGTAAATCCCTTTTCAACGTGAGTCTGAATGCTAAGTAAGTAGGCTAAATAACTTCAAACTTTAATACATGCTCTGATAGGTCGGGATCGTAACGGAAGCGGATTGGGGAATCCCTAATGGGCTAACAATGTTGCTTTTTTCTGCAGGTGTCCCACGTTTCCCCAGAGGCCCCGCAGCAGTGACAACCAGGCTCCTCTGTGGGGAAAATCCATCCCAGAGAACCCTCTTCATTTGGTCCCCTCCAAAGACGCGTCTGATGAAGCAGAAGCAGGCGACACTGCCGGTGTAAATAGCAGAGGATCACCGCGGAGGGTTTTTAACGTCCACATTAAGTCCACCATGCCCAGTTTGGCCGGTTGGATGAAAGCTAAGTTTGGCTGTAATCTGTTGGTCGCTTTAGCCACGAAACCTTCTGAGAATCAGCTCCTAATGACGCGGTCCGATTAGTAGGTTCATGAATTTGATTTGACTGGGTTATGACTGTATAACAATCATATGAAAAATAAATCTGTTGATTGAAGTGTGTCTTTAAAAGTGCCTAGAGATGACATTTGTTGGGATTTAGTATTTCATTTATCAAACTGAATTACCTGGTAAAACGGTCACCTGTGGAACCCAAATATTTAGCTATTTAGCTTTACTCTGTTAGATCCTGTTAACTTCCTGTTCCGGCTCTCGGCGAGCGCAGACGTGTATCTCTCTGCTCCCTCCCCTGTCCTTTTTTTCCCCCCTGCCTGCTATCTTTGTCCTGTCGTATCTCAGAGCCTCTTTCTGCATTTTCGCTCCCGAAAGCCTAACATCAACCATGGATTTGGTCGTCTGGTCTCTCAACGCAAGCGACAGCATTTTTTCTCCCCAAGAAAAAGATGCAGGGGCTGCAACTTGTCCAGCCAGGACTCTCCCTAAGAACCTGTACCTATTTGGATTCATGATAACCGGGTTCCTGCTGATCGAAGTTGGTGGATACCTAGGTTTTCGAGAAATTCGGAGGCTGATGGAAACTGGTGGCAGGCTGCCTGTCGAGCCGGCTTACCGAGCCCTCAACACTCTGGCTCAAGCCTTGTGCGATTTGTCTCGCAAACACGATGCTCTGGTGAGCAAATGGGAGGCTCAGTGGAGCATTGAGGAGGATCGTTGGAGCAAAATGGAGACGATGTCTGACAGCATGAAGGCGATGGGTAACACCTTGGAGAAGTTGGTGGTCCTGATGGAGGGAAATTGACACAATTCGGCCGAATTGGAATCGCCATCGAGAGACCCTGCTGAGGACTTGAGGCAGACAAAAACACGCTCTGTCTGGAACAAAGCTATCTCTCTTATCTCAATATGGCCTCCCGAGAGCGGCCTTGCAGCTGCTGCTCTGCAACTTTGCCCTGGATTTGCCGCCCCGTCCCTCTTCCCAAGCAGGAGTATCGGCATCACAAGGACAAATTCAATCTAGTCTGTGGATGTGGACTCTTGCTTGCTTACACTTACACACACACAAGTACAGACTTCATACATTCCTTGGACTCACTGCTTCGCTTTCCCCTTCCTTCCAACCCCCCCACCCCCCATCCCTCCGTCCCTATGTGTCCTTGATGTTGTGATTTGACTGTATCTGTGCTCAAGTGTACTGAGATGTTTTTTTTTTTTTAATCACTGTAACCTCCCTGTAGGTGGCGTGGCACTGGGCCTTTTTTCCCCCTCTTCCTGCAACCACTTTCCCGATGTATCTTTGTTCTTCCTGAACTTGTATCTCTATGCGTTTTGTTTGTTTGATCTTTGTACGGGCTGTACTGGAAGTCAATTTCTGCTTGGAGACCAATAAAGTGTATATTCGATTCTATTGTATTCTATTCTATTGTATTCTATATACTGGAATTAGTTTGCTCCAGCAGGTTTACAGCAGTAGCTTAAAGGCAGCACGGGTGACAGTTGATCCCATTTTTTTGTACTTTTGTACGAGGTGGTTGACTCACCTGATGGAAACTACAGCCTTTAGTGGTTCAACGGTGGAGGAAAATGGAGCAGATCGCAGCTTGTTTCCACTGTGAGGCTGATGCAGAATCCTTTGCTAATTTTTTTCCGGTTTACTAGATAATTCTGGTTTCAGAATGATTTTTAGAATTAAAGTTTCAGCTGTTGTCTCGTGTCCTTTTTAAAAAAATGAAATATTTATGGGGAAATTGCACCTTTTTTCTCTGATAAAATCCCACAGTATCAACATAATAAGCAGCCTCTGTGGGGTATAAATAGCTCATCAGAAAGAAAAGTCTGAACCGGGCCCTTTATGAATAACGAATGTGTAAATTAGGATGGGACGGATGTAATCGTGTTTCTTTATTGTCTTTAACATTGACGTCTACTGACTTTAATATAACTGCTGAACCTTTACCAGCTCGACGTGAGGAGAAGGTGTTTTTTGCCCTTCAGTCATTGGGAGTCTCATCTCTGTGGGGCCACGTTTCTCAGCAGTTTTTCTGCGGCTGTGTGGAAGGGTGCGGCAGATTTGCGAGCGGCAGATAGGCGTGCGGCAGTTAGGCCGGGTAGTTAGCCGCGTGCGGAAGTTTGGTCGTGCGGCAGTTAGGTCGCGCGGCAGCTACGCGTGCGGCAGTTAGGTCCTGTGGCAGATTTCTGCGCGGCAGCTACGCGTGCGGCAGATTTCCGCGCGGCAGCTACGCGTGCGGCAGCTGGGTCCTGTGGCCGATTTCCGCGCGGCGGGTACGCGTGCGGCAGATTTCCGCGCGGCAGCTACGCGTGCGGCAGGTATCCGCGCGGCAACTCGGCGTGCCGAAGCTCGGCGCGCGGCAGTTTAGGTCGCGCGCCAGTTAGGCGCGCGCGGCAGGATGTGCGCAGTAGGTGGAGTTTCTCTTTACGGAGAGTGTAAAGTGATAGTCTTCCCGCGGACCGGGGGAGGGAGCAGGAGATGAGTGCGGGCACTTCCTAAAAACATGTCCTCTGAGCTGTGTCGGGGCTTGTCGTGCTCTTCGTTCGCTGAGTCAGGGCGCCGCGCCTGACCGCCTTCTCTCCCCGGTCCCGGCCCACGACTTTACTCTCACCCCGGGCCCTCACATCCGCATGGAAACGGACCGTCTGTTGGCCGGGGGCGGGCATGGGGACGACGGAGAGCCGTCCCGGGCCGCCGGTGCCCGGCGGATGTCCTACTCCGCCGCGGCGGATTCGTGCAGCTGCGACGGGAGCTCAGGTGAGCGCGAGGAGGGGAGGGGGGGCGGGAAACTTTTGGGGTTTGGGAAAGTTTCAGCCCACGGGACAGGTGGTTCCAGTCCCGTGACCAAAAAAAGACCTGAAGGTCCCCGGAATGCCGCTGTTAACTGTCAGCTGAGAACTGTGTTGTAACAGGTGGAGCCTGGTCCTAGCAGAATGAGCTGAACAGGAACTAAACAAGACACAAAAAGACAACACAGACAAACTTCAGGTTTTCAGACTTGAGTCCAAAGGCGTCCATCATGGACATCCACACTGGTTTACTTAACCGGCAAAGTCAGTGGCAGCTGTCACGCGTGGATTGGTGTTTAGCCATAGCATGAGGGCGAATATGTGAAACCAGCTCGGAAACACATCAAAGACACCAGTTGAAGCCACTGCTTACTCACATGGACAGTCCCTGTGAACATTTCTTCTTAAATCTTCTGTAATTGAAAAGTTATTCTGTGTTCTTACTCCAAATACAATGGTCGTTTTTAACCTATTTGAAAAGTTTACATAATTCGAAATAAGGACAAGCTTATTGATCTTTTTTTAAAACTAATGTACGTCTCATATTTGCTTTCTTCAGATCTCAAAATGACATTTCCCAGCAGTGCATTTTGGGAGGTTCTAACTCCTTAATAGCGTTATAAATCAGGAAGACAATAAGCTGTTTATTCAGCCCAGTATCTAAATCCTGAAAAGAAGCCTGGTATTTTTATTGATATGTTATGACCAGAACACAACAAACGTTGTATTGAGATGATAGAATGACGACTTAATTCGATGTATGATGTTTTTTCCTTCAGCAGGAGCAGAGACTGCGCGTCGTAATTAGATATCCTGGACAAATGAACTAAGAGAACATTGTCTGGATAGCAGCTCGCCCACCCTCTCATGTACTGTAGCACGGCGAGGGGCCTCGCTTTTACTTTTTAAATAGAAAAGAAAAGGAAAATTCCACTCGCTGACACACTGAAATCAACCCTTATTCTTCAGCCAAGGTCCTAAGACCCAGATTTGCACATTTACAACAGGAGTTACAATGGTGGTGAGTTCAAGGCCAGATGGCTGGACCTATGAACGCTTATTCTATCCAATAAAAAACTGTGAGGACACACATTAAGACACATTAACTGTTTAATTGTGGTCCTGAGAAAAAGAAACAACAACGTTTGCGGGCCTTTTTTTTTTTAGAAACCTGTGTTAATTTGCACCTGTGTGTCTTAAAGGGTTTGTTCTTAACAGTTCTGCTCTTGCATACATTTATGAATTTTCTTTGCTTTTCTGCTCAAGCAAACGTCTGATTGAATGACTCTGTTGGTGCAGAGCTAAATAATTCCAGAGCAGTTTTTTTTTACTCTGTTAAGTACTTTTCCCCATATGAATGAAACTATTGCGTAAAATAGAGTTATTGAATCAAAATGCACTGAATTCCTACACCTCTAAATGATCTTCATTGCACAAGTTTTAAAAGCTTTCGACAAGTGAACAGAAGCTAAATGTGGAGGGCATTCCCCTCCAAGATGCTCTTTAAAGTTAATTGAGTTAGAGGCACACAGCCGTCCTGTGACTCAGGAAAATCTTTTTTTGGTGTTGTTGTGCTCGTGTAAAAACGGACTGCGTGCTATGTATGAGCCCATCAAAGTGTAGGGATGGAGACAGGTGTGTGTCGGAGTGGATACACTGATATACATTGAGTGGATTTACTGATATGGAAGTGTTATCAATTGTTTCTGTCGTTTACATTTGAGCTAATAAGAAGTAATTTTTCCCTTCAGCTGAATTAGTAAGAACTTCGGTGGAAATATGGTGAGAGTCACTGGGGTTAGGGGACTCTAGGGCTGACTTTGCAGCCTCGGTGTGTGTGCAGTTCACACTTGAATGTCCCGGTGGTCTCGTGTTTGGTATTTGCTGTGCAGCACTACAGCTTTTGAAGTGTTATGCTGTCAGTGTCACCCACCACCATGACACATCCAGCTGTGATGTTTTGAGTCAGCAAGCCTAGCGCGTTTGTGTGTGTCTTTGTGTGTGTGTGTGTGTGTGTGTGAGTAACGGTAACTGCTCGACGGAAAAATAGCTGTCAGTGACACCACAGTCACCTGACTGCCGGGTCCTTCAGCTTTAACCAGACATTAAAGAAAGGTCCAGCATGAAAGTTTAGAAATCTCTCTGGAGCCAGGTGTTGAACAAGGAGGCCTTTCAGTCTTTGTTTAGCACCAGCTCTTTACTAAGCTACAGTTCATTAAGTTAGTAGTTTTCCCATTTTCAACTTGCCTTGTCATTTCAGAGCACATATCTGTGCCATCAGAATTCTGTCCTGGATGTATTCATTAGTTTGGGTTCTTCTTTCGGGGATACTGGGGCTGTCAGTTTCAAACCTTTCTACACGTGAGGCTTAACAAGATGAGTCTTGTCCTGTTAAATGGCTTTAATGGGTGCAGAGATTCATCGTTCATCTCATTCCAGGTCACTAAGTTCTACTGCCAAGAACATCTGCCAAATATTCAAATATTCACCAGAGATGTTTTGCTTCTTGGTTAGGGTTGTCACGATACTAAAATTTAAAATCTAGATACCGATACTAAGGAAAATATTCAATACTCTATACCATTTTCGATAACACAAGGATAAAAACAAAGACCCCAAAATGTAACTGAATTTTGACAGGTTAGTGTCTTTCGTTTCAAACTTACCTGTTACTGATGTTATGGTGGCCGGTGGCCCGCATTAATGACCCTAACCCTAACCCTCCACCCTTCATAATTGTGAGAAATAAATATTTTTTGGTTAAACTTGTTTGGACTTGTACAAACCTATTTAACGTTCACTATTTTAACATAATATTTTGTATAGAGTTTAATTCAGTGTTTACGAGATTAATTTAACTAATTTTAAATGAATGTCTATATTGCCATGAAGCAATTATAATTTTCTTGGATCTTCCTATTGGTGACGTAAGACGGTAGTATCGATACTTTTGAAAAAGAGTATTGCATCCAGATACAATGTTTTAGTATCGATACTTTTTTGAGTATCGATACTTTTGACAACCCTATTCATTTTTTAAAAAGAAGCCTCATGTTGTGCCTAGAAAGTCTAAGTGAGAGTTCTTCATTCATTTCCCTGAAACACAACGGTTTCTTTTGTCACTGTTGACAGGTGAGGAGGATAACTACATCCAGCAGGCTGTGGTGCTGATAGAAGATGCCATTCATGTGAGTGTTGGGAGAGGCTTTCGCATCTTAATGAATCAACATATTCCTTTTTTTCATTGTCTATTCACAAGACCAAACCCAGTATTACTTTACAGGGTGTGGTGAAAATTCTGTGTATCCAGTAACTTAACCCTTCAGCATCTACACAAAAGATTTCTATGCATAATTTTCATATCTTTGGAGCAATCCCAACCAGAATCAATGCTTTATTCACAGAGATTTGGTAAAGGTGTGGAATTCGAAAACAGAAATGTCATAACTCGTGCTTAATTTATCCACCACATGCCTAAACTTAATTTTAGAGCTAGTTTAGGTCAGTGCACTCCCTCTGGTGTATCTCGCGACCGAGTATAATCAGTGATAAATGTGCCTCATCGAATAGTCGGGCATGTTAGAGGGTTAAAGAGCCTGGAGTCCGTATGCTCTGTATTCTATCATCAGTCTTTCTCATTGTCGTCTTTGCAACATTGTCTCCGTTCTCTGAGCATGTGTCGAAACGGGATCAAATGTGCTCAGTGTCTCACACTTGTGGAAAAGCTTTCTGTGGTGGAACGATTGCTCCCTGACCGGGAGCCTAAGTTGTTGTCTGAGGTGGACCAATGGGGAGCCACAGGTGCCTCCTTGACCTCGGTGCTGGTGTAATTTCTTCTTTAGCTTTTTTTCAAACACCTGAGAGCTTCACATCAGCAAAACATACCTAAACATATGGCCTCACTAGCTGAGGATACATTCATCGTTCAGGAGATGAGGTTTGGTGAGGCCATTATTACCCTTTTAAAACTAAATGGAAGCCAAATGGGTGTACTCACACACATAAGAGCTGGGACGCACATACAATGATAACTGTATTATAGTCAATAGTAGTGTAGTAAATGAGGAATAGCTTTCTCGCAAACCGTGTAAGGAGCAGATTATTTGCATGATTTCTCATGCTTATCAATCATAACCAGCCAGATGTGCTGCATTATGCTGATATATTGTACCTGGAAGCCTTTTTTAAATAAATGTTTTTAATGATTTAAGTACTGTAACACAAAATGGAGGTATAAGATGTCCTGCATGAGTGTGAAATAAGAAATGACAAATGATGTTTTGGTATGTTAGTGGAAGTCAGGCTTTGGTCACCACTGTGGGCCATGCTTTACTTACAGGAGCAGTTCTTCCCTGTCTTTGTAAATAGGTTCTGAAGCCCACTAATGAGGTCACACCACACTCCACAAACACGAGCATTTCCCAGCTGGCTCCGTGTCACTTTAAAAGATTAAACTGGAACAGAGAGGCTTCGGCAAAAGCAAAGTTTGCTTGTTGTTCTTTTGCTGTTGCACGTCATCCATCCCGTGGCCGTCTGAACAGAAGGGCGTGGCCCCCTGCCTGTCTGGGACATGCCATGAGGCCCCTCCCAGGGAATTTGAAGGCCCTTCTCAACATTCTGTACAGTGTCTTCAGTAATAAAGTCACTGGAGATAATATGATCTTAGTTATCTCTAATCAACATTCTCATTCCCTTTTCTTTGGATTTAACTTTTATTTAATTAAATTTGTCTCCCAATTCTGTGGTGTATTATTGCCTTGTGTTAGGAAAATGTTTAATGCAGTTCTAATTACCTCTGCTTGCCTACAGTACCGCTCCATCAATCACCGGGTGGATGCCCGCTCCCTCCACCTGTATCGATGGTACTATTCCAGAGTATGCCAGTGGTAAGCTTACTTTTATCTCTTCATCAAGCTTTCATCATATTCTTTTTTTATTTGAAATTGGATTATTTTAACATTAACTTGATTGTTATTATTCTACAGTTTTTATTTAATAGTTCATGTAATATGTTTCTGATATTTGTCTTAGTCGATCTTTGGCTAGGTAAATAAAGTACATGACATCTGTCAGGATTAGTCTGTCCACAGTTCATGTAGAAGGCTTAAATCGTGAATTTTTAAACACTTTTTGATGCTGTTTTGGTGTTCCTTACTAAAACCGTACCTTGAACCAGTCAGATAAGCCGGTATGATAAAACTTAGAGGACGTAGACAGTTCTAACGAATATCAGCGGCAGCCATTCTCATCAAACAAATTCTCAGCCTTGTTCCTATAAATGTGTCCCATTCGTCATTCTGTGCATGTGCATTGGACAGCCCAGTGTTGAGTGGCCTGTAGAAGCTGTAATTTAACCATCCTCAGTTTGATTCCTCAGATCCAAATACTGCCGTCTTGTGAAGTCCAGCCGAGAAGCAGATAGAAAAATTCATTACGAGGCCCTCTGGGACTTAGGATTGTGAATACTATTGGAAAACATGATAAGTAAAGCACACAGTTTCTGCCCATTGTGTGGAAAACAGCAGAGTATCAGAGGTCTCAGGAGCAGCTCCTTTATTTTCATTACTCCGACTGGTGCAGATGCTTAGAGGCTAAGGGGATAAGATAGTGGTGGGAGGGACTGTCCCCGTGATGACTGTCCGGCCTCCTGGAGGTGTGGAGGGCCCAGCTAGATGAAACACCAATGGAGACCCCAATGACATGCTGGTCAGCACTGCTCACTGCTTTAACAGGGACCAGAGAGACCAGGAGGCTCATTAGGTACTGAGCCAGTGTAGAAGTTTGCTGGATTTAGGGGATTTTCTCACTGAGTCTGGGCCATCTTGGTCAACAAGTTTCCTGGGTTTGCTTTGATTGGGGAAGATAATAGAGGTGGCTGAATATTGCTACAGGCTTCACGCTGGCTAGCTTGGTCAACCCATTGAATAAAATGACCTCAATAGAATATGCAACTAGATCTTGAGCTATTTTAGGACCATCCATCCTCTGTTCTTTCCCTGCTCCAGGCTACTCGGTTTGACCATTGCAGTGGTACTGCTGCTGGCATTTGTGGAGCGCCCGTCCTCCCTGTCAGTCTCCTCAGACCCTCGCCATCGATCCGTGTCCTGGGAGCCTCCATGCGGCCTCACCGAGAGCATAGAGATGATCTGCCTCTCCATCTTCTGTCTTGATCTCGCTGTCAAGGTAAACACAAGCAAACATGGAACATATCCGTACCTAAGACGGTAGCAACGGGGCGCATGCGTCAGGATTCACTGTTCACATCCCACTTGGAGCCTTTGTTTGTGAGGTTTGCATGTTTTCCTGGGTGGATGTGTGTATATATATCCACAACAAGAACACAAAACAATACCTAAACCCTAACCCCAACCATACTAACAAAGGACTGGATGGATGGACATAGCAACTGTTGGGTGAGACAAAATTGTTCTCAATCTCTGTCTGATTTGTTTGCAGAGCTACTTGATTGGCTGGGAGGAATTCAGGAAAAGCAAATGGCTGATCAGCTACACCGTAGTGATTTCGGTCTCCGTCATTGACTGGGTGCTGTCTATCAGCATGGTGTGTGACGAGGTGAGGCTCATGCTTCTCTGACCAGTTAGTCATAGGACGGTAGTATTGACTAAAGAGTCGATTCTGAGTAAAGTAAAAAGCTTACTTGACAGCATACCTTTGACTTGTCATTACTAATGGAGATTTGTGAATTAGCATATATATACTGATAGCATCTACCTATCTGAAAGTCAGCCTTTTTCACTCTGCCTCAACCATCTGAAGCACTTATCCTGGATAACTTTACGTTTGCTTTATTATGCACTCTACTGATGACTTTTCAAAGGATGTTAAGTTTAATCACGCATTGTTTTCAGAATTGGTCTTTTCTATTCCCCCCTAATCAGAAACTTAGAGTGCGGAGGCTGATCCGACCATTCTTCCTGCTGCAGAACTCCTCTCTAATGAAAAAGACTTTAAAGTGCATCAACAGGACTCTGCCGGAGATAGCCAGGTATCTCAATCATTAGCCGTTAGACCATTACCTACCTGCAATGAGAGCCAAAAAGGTTCCCATTATTCTCCTGAAATAGAGAGTTTTTCTATTCCTCAAAATAGTTTTTGTTGTCAGTGCATAAAGGGAATGCCCAGTTGAATTCACAATGATCAACTCATGTTCAATTTGTGGAAAGCCACCGGTCCCTCCGGTACTCTCCTGTGAATCAGGCTACTTGTTGCTGCTTGTCCAAAATGTGGCCACACGCTGGTAATAATCCATTCCAGTCGGCTCTAACATGGCGCTGAGCTTTGTTCACATGCTGTGTCAGAGTTTAGATGCAAGGACAAATTAGCGTCGGTTGAATCGGGAAAATGCAGGGGGGCCAGTTTAAGACATCCTTAACTTGGTATATATCATTAACGTCAATGCCTGGTATCTTTAAAAGGAAATGCTGACTTTGGGTTTAGACTCACAGGCAGAGTGGGTTAAAGGAAAAGCCAAACGCTGGATGTCAGACGGCTGGATGAATTCCAACAGCCACCGGCATCCTGTGTGAGCCTTTGTCTTGTCTCTGCAGTGTCATCCTGCTGCTGGCGCTGCACCTCTGCCTCTTCACCATGATCGGCATGCTGCTGTTCGCTAAAACCGACGTGAGTCACGCACCCGGACCTGCCCGCGGAAGTTTGCCGTCCACTCAGTTTGGGACGTGAACCGACACATCCAAGCGCAAACAAAACATGTATTTTACGTCACGTCAGAGGACAAAGTACAGGCTTTTACCAGAGCCGTGGGTCGGTCATCTGTAGGGGGCCTCAGGTGCCTCACTTCCCAGTGTGTGTGTGTGTGTGTGTTCTCTGCTGCAATTGGCAGTAAAACGTTCACGGCAAACACTGCACACACTGCACACACCCCCCCGGCGTCATATTAGGTCAAAGCTGTTTGCCTTTTAATGTTAATCTTGTTAATCTCTCAGAACCGGAAATCTTTTGTGTTTTCAAGTTTGAATTTCTATTGAATCATCAAACTAAGAAATCAATTGCTAAAAAAATGAAAGACTTAGACTTAGACTTCGACAACTTTACTGTCATTTTGTGTGTATAGAGTGCACACAAAATGACAGCAATGAAAGCAACATGGTCTTAGAACAGATAGTTGAAATGGATTTAAAGGCGGTTTAAAGGTGTTGAAAGCAGAGTAGGGGTTTGGGTGGTCATCCCCTCCCTCTGTGTTTCTTTGCCCAGGACCCAAAGAAGAACGGGGAGTGGGAGTTGCATTTCAGAGACCTGCCTAGCTCCCTCACTTCTCTGCTGGTGCTGCTCACCACGGCCAACAACCCGGATGGTACGCGTCAATCAAGCTCCTGACGGCTGATCGTGGAACTGGCTGATTGTGGAACTGGCTGATTGTGGAACTGGCTGATTGTTGCTCTCTGTCCACAGTGATGATCCCGGCCTACTCCCAGCACAGAGGATACGCCATTTTCTTCATCGCCTTCAGTGTAATCGGTGAGGAGTGATCGCCATGGCGGCTTCCAGTCATCTGTGGCTTTTTCATTGACGACTGAACCGTTTCAGTGAAATGTTTCTGATGAAATTGGTTTTGCTTCCCGGCAGGAACCTACTGTCTGATGAACTTACTGACGGCCATCATCTATAACCAGTTCAGGGGCTACTTACTGGTGAGTCCTAGCGTGGCTCATCAGATTGCCATTTGGCATCTGAAGGCCACTGGGCCTGTGTTCACACGGTCCAGATATCTTTACACTGATGGTCTTAATCTTTGGGTTTTTATTTTTACTAATCAGATCTTGTTACTCTCCTTGTTGCTAATCAGTAACAATCTTGTTTCTAATCATATTTTGTTACAACCCAGGTCCCAGGTAGAAAGCCGGGTGTGTCAGTACCTCTAATGATATGCTCTTAAATGGAAAAACCAAGCCAGGGCGATGGAAAGGAGTCTGTCTAGTCAGGACACAACAGGACAAAAGTGCTGTACAAAGGCACTATGATGAATTAAGTTCATTAAAGAAATTAAAAACTATTCACAGGTAGAACTGGACAGCAAAAGGGTTCCCAAGGCAGTCTATTCCGTCTCTGTACAGCATAGCAGTGAAACGCATAAGAAAGAGCATCGCAGCAGTCAGGTCTGCTGGAAAATAAGGCACGAATTAGATTCTCTAAATCAGCTCTGGACACGAGAGCTCTGAGGTGGTCAAAGGCTGTCTTAGTTACAGCTTTGATGTGGCTGCTAAAGTTCAGCTCCAAGTCAATAAAAACTCCCAGATTCTTAACCTGGGAGTTTATGAAGATTTTGTGCTGAGTCAAGCTGGGTGACAACCCTCATTTAGTCTATTTAGTTACTAAATAGACGTATTTCCATTGGGCCTGATCTAACTTATGCCTCTGCACAGACAGAGGGAGTCTTAAGGACCGCAGTCATCTGGAGAAAGAGCAGGTCTGAGTGTCATCTGGGATGAGAAACATTACAGCTACCTATGATCAGAGCATGGAGAGGCTGAACAATAGTGGCCCAACAACTGACCTTTGAGGGACTTTGGTGGTTTGCAGTGTAAAAAGGCTGGACTGAGATCCAGCAGAGCCAGAACAGATGTTTTACCTGCTTCAGTGTTCATATAGATGTCATTCAGGACTTAATCACTGCTGTCTTAGACCCAACACGATGCTGCACAGGCATGTTAGCTAAGAAACACTGAGTTCCCGAATGGTTTGTCAAAAGTCCTCCCCCATGATCTCATCCCACACCTGGAGCCACCGATGCTGCAGCCCTTTTAGCGAATCAAGACCAGTCTGCTTCCTAGTTTTGACCTCAATAGATCATTCATTCAATTCAATTTTCAATTAAATTTTGTTTATATAGCGCCACATCACAACAACAGTTGTCTCACAGCGCTTTCCAAACAGGTCAGACCCTACTCTGAAGTTAATTACAGAAACCCAACAATTCCCACCATGAGCAAGCACTAGGCGACACAGGCAAGGAAAAACTTCCTTTTAACAGGCAGAAACCTCGAGCAGAACCATGGCTCAGGGTGGGTGGCCACCTGCCTCGGCCCCTCATGATTACCATAATGTATATTTACATAATTCAGGAAAATACATTTCACACGCTGGGATGATGTTTAATACTCTCGTGCTTTTGTTCAGATGTCAGTTCAGACGTCCATCACCAGGAGAAGGTTGGGGATCCGAGCAGCTTTCCAGGTTCTCAGCTGTCACAGAGTCCAAGAAGCTTCCCAGTAAGGCACCCCAGACACACACACACACACACACACACACACGTAAACACACACGCAATGCTGTCCGCCTACACAACAGAGGACTTTACAATGATCCCCATTATTTTTTGTCTCAACCCCTAATCACAAAGACAGTAAATAGTCCCATATAAAGCCGAGACTGGTCCTTACATGAGAGGCAGATGGAGTCACATACGCTCCTGAGTGTTTAGCTCTTTTTCAGAAAACTGGTCGGCGTCGACGACGTGCTGGAGGTGATGGCCAGGGTCAAGATGCAGAGCTACTACAGAGCAGCCATCACCACGGTCAGCCTGGAAGCCCGTGCCTACACTCACACGAACGCACATGTCTGAGCTTTGAGTGTATGAAAGCATCAGAATGACTGGTGTGTTCCCCTTCTCTCGGTCTCCACCGCCTCAGATGGCTCGGCAGCATGCGGACGCCGGCCACATGGACAGAGAGCAGTTCACAAAGATCTTCGACGAACTGGATAAAGATCGCATCAAAGAGGTGGAACCGTGCTTCCCATTTAAGCGTCGGTTTATGTTGACCGTGACGGTGGTCGGATGTAGTCCTAATCCAGGGGGCCATGTGTGTTTTTTCTCCAGCACCCTCCTCTGCCTCAGTACAGGTCAGCGGTCCTGCAGAGGTTCCAGGTGATCTTCAGCCACTTCTACCTCTCCGTCCTGGGGAATGCGGTGGCCCTGGCCAACATCCTGTGCATATGCGTAAGCTGCACACAGTCGCGTGGACAAAACACGCCAACCGAGCCGCTCGGCCCATAACCCCCCCTGTTTGTGCTTTAGACGGTCCTGGTGTTGAACTCTGAGAAGTCCACCGCAGAGAGAGACAACTACCTACTGGGGGTGAGCACGGTCCCAAAATGTCTCTCTGTGCCTCAGATTTGTCATTTCATTCTAGAAACACTTTGTTTCCTCACACATGTAAATGTCAAACACAGTCAATTGTAATGTTTTTAGCACTTTCAATAGAGGAAACATTGATTTTACACCAAGCTCAAAGTCTGTAACAGAAATAAAATGAAGAAAATGATTTCTCTTTTTCTCCGTCCCACTGTCAGATCATCAACCTGTGCTTCATCCTCTATTACCTGTTTGAAATGTGTGCCAAGATCTTTGCTTTTGGCTGGAGAGGATACCTGTCCTATAGAAACAACCTCTTCGACGGCCTCCTCACCACCCTGCTGATGGTAACGTTGCTTGAAAACTTCAATGTCTTTAGCCAAACTTGTCTTTAGAGATGAATGCGAGTTTATTTCCTACTAGTATGCTCAGAATATGTGCTTATGATGGGAGGCCGTTGATGAAATTCAGCAGACTAAGCTGTTCCGTGTCAGACTTTATTCTGTACGGATATGTGTAGTTATGTCGGAATTAGAATTTCATTTACAAAAGGCCCATTTCACTACACCTGCAACCCTGTTGGGAAGAAGCGGGATAGAATGGATGGATGGACGGATGGATGGACATTTCAGTTCAAGGCTGCTTTGCCTCGTTACGGTTTCATCATTCATCATTTCATTTAAAGTAAAATGTTGATCTAACACTTTTTTCTCCCTTTCAGATCCTACAGATTGCCATATATATCACCTACATGATTCCTAACTCTCACAGGTGGGTTTTTGTTTTCATTTGTCATACGTTTTTAGATTACAGTAATGCAAAGAATCTGCAACGCCAACAAATCAAACAGGAAATCTTCCACCCACTAAGTTAAGCAACATTATCTCATCATCCATCTCTGCCTTTCTAGGCACTGGAGATCCTTAACGCTTCCTTGGAGTGTTAGTTTTGGCTGACAAATTGACTTCAGATGCATAACTGTCTCCCAATAGGCTGCAGAGTGTTGATGCTTTAGCGTTGATGATGAGGCAGAAATTAGAGACTGAGGAAAGGAGCAAAGAAATGTGTTATGTTTGTGTGTATCTGTGAAGATTCTCAGTCATCTAGGTCATGGTAGAGCTTGGAAAGTTCAGTTCTGAACTGAACTTCCCAAGCTCTTATTTCTGTGTGCTTTATTTCCTCTTTAAACCCTAAAATTCTCCATCTGACCATGAAAAGCGTAGGTAGTTTTAGTGTGTCAGACATCATTTTTCGTTTCATATCATGGGTCCATGGCTCTGGCAGTGAGTGTGTCTGTGTGTGACGCAGGGATCCCTCCTCTCAAGATGGGATGCCTCTGTGGGAGATGGTCCGACTGGTCAACATGCTGATAGTTTTCCGGTTCCTTCGCATCATCCCTGACATCAAGGTACACAGCAGAGTGGAGTGCTCGTCCACTCTAATATGGACTCTTTTTCCAAACTCACCAAATGAGAAGACAAGAGACTCCTTATTTGAAAAAAAAAACAGTTCATTTTTTGGAAAACATTCTTTCATCCATGATTTTCAGTTTGTTGTTTGTGTTTATTTGTTGCTATTAGGATTGTTGGTATTTTAGAATAGCTATGTAGCTTTAGCAATAGCTAACAGGAGTGACTTCTTCTTGACATGAAGCGATATTGTAGCAATCATAAATATCCACAGTGAATCAAAAGAAAACATCAAGGTGAATTTCAATGTAAAGTAAGTCAGTAAAAAAAAAAAAGATCATTGTAATAAAAAAGTTTGATGTCTTAAAAAAATACTTTGAATATTTGGATGTTAGGTCATTTCTATTTTTCTGAATGAAAATAATCTCTTTTTTTATCTTTTCTGGATGTCTTTTGTAAAGAATATTTTCCGTGATATGTTCAGAGAATATATACCTTGCTCTTAGAGCTCTTAGATCCGAAGACTCATCTTCATATTTCCGTCATATTTGTATCATTTTCTGCAGCTCATGACTCTGGTGGCGAGCACGCTGCTGGATCTGGTGAAGAACCTCAGAGCGTTTGCAGGGATTCTGGTGGTGAGTCAAACTGCCATCTTTCATCCAACTTAACTTCCCTTCTGTACCTTTTGTCAGGAAGCGGAAGATACACCCTTTAGCCCTGCCACACAACTTCCAAACAGACCTCCTGGCTCATTCTAATAGTGCAAACTTTTTGTGTTTGCTTGGGTTTCACAAATCACTACCCACGTTTTCTCTATTTCAGAAAATATACAAAGAAATGAGAAGGTTGAATATTGCCTTTAACTCCAGGGTTATGAAAAACGTTTTAAAAACTCTTGTATTCGTTCATGATGGAAAACTAGAAACAACCAAATGAGGGAGTTTGTGCTTCCTGTGCAGGTGGTGTACTATGTGTTTGCTGTATTTGGGATCTGGCTGTTTGAGGGCGCCATCAAACCTCCTCCGGAGACCAGGTACACACCGAATAATTCTACATTAATTCTTCATACAAACAAAGGAAATCCAAGTAAAAAGACATATCTGACGTAATGTGACTAAAATGCAAAAGCAGTTTCCTTATTTAGAAATCTGTGAAGATTCTCAGTCATCCAGCTCATGGTCAAGCTAGAAAAGTTCAGTTAGGCAACTGGAGGTGACATTTTCTAGAAAATATTTGGCCTCTCATCCAAGGGGTCAGATTGGTTTGGGTCACATGCCTCTTTGACGGTGAGAGGGGAATTTTCTGGGTATTGTTCCTAATGGGAGTTAACGACCCAGCAGAACCCCCTAACGACCATTCCCCAGGTGACCTCCATGGCCCAATCACTAGGAGGGATCAGAGCCACCTTTTGGTTTTTCTTTTTTTCCCCCTTAATTCTTTTGTTCCACCTACAGTATATTAATCTTAGTGCTCCCCACCATCAGTTAGAACCGATGAAGCCTCTTGGATGAGAGGCCAAACGTCTTCTAGAAAACGTCACCTCCAGTGGCCAAACTGGCCGTTTGAGTTCATGCAGGCAAAGTTGAAGTGGAACCGTTAAGATGGGGCAGTAGGGTATGCATTACATGACCAAAAGAATCAGCGAACCCCTCCACATAACGTCCACAAAGCATGCAGAACACATTTTAGGTGTGGACGGGCTTGACCGGCTTGCAGAATCCTGATCTCAGCATGGCAGAACCTGTTTGGGGTGAATTAGAGCAGAGACAGAGAGCCAGGCCTTCTGTCCAGCACCAGTGTCTGAGCTCTGGAAGAATGCTCAGAACCCATCAACACACCCAGAATGGCTCAAGCTGTTAAAGCAACAAATGGTGGACCAACGGCACATTGAACCCTGTGGATTAAGAGTGGGATGTCTATTAGGTTCATGTGGGCGTCAGGCTGGTGAGCTAATACTTTTGGGTTTGTTGACACCCAGCTCACAGAGGAAAACTGCTAAAAGGACAGCCAGACAAGCGCTCCACTCCTGTGGCATCATGTCAATTAAATATGTTCTTCTTGTTCATTTCCATATGCAACATTTAGTAATGTTAGAGTAACCATAGCGATGACAAAATAGTTATGTTTGAATATTGACTGACCATATTTGCAGAATGCTACATCTGTTGAATATTCTTTAACTGATGGATAATCATGGATTTCATGACATTTGAAATGGGATTAAAACCACCAGCCAGTCTCTACCACATTTTCCACTGTGGCCATCCGCCATTTTGTTTCCCAGTGGATTTAGTTAAAGTGGGGAAACGTGCATATGAACATCCAATAGGCCTGCATACATGTCCTCTGAGACCTAATGCAGCACAGAACATGTGTGATGGCTCAACCCATGTCCCTGTTGCTTGTGTGTGTGTGTGTGTACCAGTGGGCCCTCCAACACGTCCATGGAGAACATCACCACTAACTTCACCATGGAGTGTGGCACATACGAACAGCTGGGCTACTGGCCCAACAATTTTGATGACTTTGCCGTGAGTAAACAACCAGACTACCTTCATGGCTGACTTTGTGGTCCGTGTTCACCCAGTGTAGAGGACTTGTGTGTCTTTTGTGTCCAGGCAGCCATCATTTTGCTGTATGATGTGATGATAGTCAACAACTGGCAGGCCTTCATGGAAGCATACAGCAGATACACCACGGAGTAAGAGAGCATCGCCTGGAGGGCTGCAACTGGGCGTTGGGAATCCTTCCTTTAACGATGATGATGATGATTTCTGTCTCCTAGGTGGTCCAAAGTCTACTTTGTCTGTTGGTGGCTCACCTCCTCCGTGATGTGGGTCAACCTGTTCGTGGCGCTCATCCTAGAGGTTAGCTCACTGATGCCACACATGACTAAACCTGAGCTCACATGCCACCTTCGTGTAGTGGGAAGACTTAAGTGGAGTCATTGGCTAAGGTTTCAAATATTTGGAATGCATCATGTCACGCTCTTGGTTAAAACCCATCGCATTCCGATCTTTACTCTCGGCTTTACAGTTCTTCTATCCCTGGGTCGCCAGCCTGACAGAAACTGGCTGGCTTTTCTTAAGAATAAAGAACCTGATTTGTAAAATTTCACAAACTAGAACGATCAGCTCCTTACAAGAGAAAGAACAAAGACACATTGACGTTCAGTTGTCTTCATCAGAAGACAGAACAGAAATCGGAAACTTCTGGAAACCTGTGTTGAACGAGCTGCCAGATAGATCAGGTAGTCACACATTAACACCCCATTTTGCTCCGTTTCCTCCAAGAACTTCATCTACAAGTGGGACCGCAGTTGCAGCTGCTCGATCACGGACGTGGAGAGGATCAGATATCAAACATCTGTCCAGCTCATGTTCAAGTAGGTCAACCGATTCCAGCTCGTATTTGAGGGGCATTTCTAGCCGTCTGAAATCTTTTATTTAGCTAAACCTAGCCAAAGACAACGCTGGCCTCCTATCAGCGCCTTTTTCTTCTGTTCTTCTGCAGAGAGCAAATCCAAGAGCCAACAGAGGAAGAACTACTCTGTCAGCTGCACCAGCACCCCCACTTACATCTTCGCTGGTGACAAAAGCACACCCGAGGGTCAAGCCGGCTCCTCCAGGATGACGCAGCCAATCGGTTGAGGTCAACGTCCGACCGGTCTGCGCAATTCCTCATTTTAACCACCTCATCGACACTTTTTGATGCTCACACATGAAACATGACCAGTTGTGCCTGAGAAGACCCTTCTGCACAGAGGAGTGCCAAATCCACGTGACTGTGAAACGAAGACAAAGAACAACAAACCAGAAGCCAAAAAGAAGCGTTCAAAGGCCCACTGGACCGGACTTTTTCTTTAGACGTTGGACAACCACAGTCTGGGTTGTTCTGATTTTCGTCTGATAAATGGTGCTTTAAAAAAAAAAACTCCACTCCACACCAGCAACTGAATGACGCAATTTTAACTGTTTCCAGAAAAATAACTAAGTTTAATAGACTACTATAGAGTTAAGCATCTCTATAAAACTTATTGATGTGGTTTCACTCATTTATGAAGTGCCTTTCAGTTTAATTAGTGAGAAATGGCAGAACTGTGCCATTAGTTCCCAGGCAGCAGGAAATAGGGAGCAACTTATTTAACCAGAATTGGTTTTGTTTGGAATACTGTAAGTGACTGAGGTTATTTTCTATGAATGTTTTAACCCATGCTACCTGGAAGAAATGTGCCTTAACAGTACAGACATGCAACCTTTCATCAAGTCTTTCCAGCTCCATGAGGCCCACATTGTCAATTTACGATTTATCCTGTCCACGTTTTTCTACATTTACCTTAAAAAATGTACCAGTCTTGCATAGTTCAATTTAGACTTTTTTCTAAAATTCTAAACAAAAAGCAAGCAGTGGTTTCTCAAGGAAAAAAAAGTCTGACTTTCCATTAAGTCACACTAACATTTGAGTGTTTTTGGAATGCTCTCAAAGACAAAAATGGACCTGAAGCCCATATGAAATTTCCTGGTGAAAGTTAGCATGATATTTTAACTCAGAAATTCAGCTTTGAATATCTTCAAGACCGGACACATCTAAGAACATTTAGAGTTAAAGTGTTGAAACACAAAAATGCACGTTCCAGTGCCATGTAAGGCCACATGCTGTAAGGAACAGTAAGTGTGTGACCATATCCACCAGAAAGCATTTATACACACATATTGTTAACAGGAGCAAAAGGGAAAAGCCCACTAGTGGTGAGGCTCCTATTCTTTGAATCACCAGCCATATTATGCATAGATATTTATCAAAAGTACATTTATTTTGAGGAGAAATTTGATTTCTTTATTTTTATCTAGACAAGTATGGAAATGTTTATTAAAGACTTTTTGAATAAGAATTTTACTGCATTTTTGTTTATTTTTTAAATTTGTGGCTTTGGTGTCTCTTTGTTTGGGTCATTGGATCACTCTTAATTGTCACCAGATCCGTGTTGGAGTTTGGAAAAAATAAAGTGTAGGAACAACCCTCATATTACTATCAGGAGCTAACATATCAGGATAACTGAAAGGAAAGGATTTTCCACATAGTATTTTAGGGAAGTGTTTGAGTAGAAGTCCCTTTAAAGTTGTGGTTACGAATAGATCCCTTAAAGATAAGCTAACATAATCAATTGCATTAGAAAATATTAGTTTAAAAAAAAAAGCAATGTAGAAACCGACATATGAAAGATTTATTCAGCTACAGTGAGCCCTACAATCACCCAGAAAATTATTAAAGGAGAAGGAAAAGGATTAAAGTACTAATTTGATCAGCTGGTTTAACAGATAGAAAAATTATAAGGACAGGTTTCCACAGGTGGATGAAATGAAAGAAGTTCTGCAGATATAGCTCTTGAAGTTTCAACAATTTAAATGTGTGTCTTCTGTAAGGATGAAACGAGCCAAACAATTCCCAATCTGTAATTCCGCTATAGCTGTTGCTGTGTCATCCCAAGTATGCCCAACGGCCTAATTGCTCCTGCTATTTCTGACAAGAATGAGGCACTGAGGTCATCCTCTGTCCCTCTCAAAGGGGTCCAAACATGTTCTCCATACTTATAGGAGATTATATAAGTATGGAGCATTTAAGCAGAAATTAGTTCAGAACAAGGAAACAAACTGAACAAATATTATAAGAATTTAGGGCACAAAATAGAACTCAAAAGTGTTTGGGATCCTCGCTGTTGGAGACGACCGCCTCCGGAAGGTGGCGGTAGTAGACACTACTGAAAGAAATCAACGAAGAAGAAGAGAAGCGGAAGGCGTAAGCAGACGAAGAAGAGATTTTCTGGAGAGGTTCTCGTACTTCTTTTTGCGTTATTGGAACCCACCAGAGGATGGAAGGTGAGTGTTTCTGACCCTGTTGGCTAGCCAAATCTCTGGTGCAGCAGCTGGACCGGTTCGTTAGCCGGTTCCGCTCACGTGAGGTCACGCGTGGCTTTTTGCTGGTGTCGGGAGCGCGCACAGCATGGAGAGATGCTGACTGCTCTCTGCACATACTTTCTGATCATTTTCTCTTGGAATAACACCACGGTTACTTTACTTCTGAAGCTATAGTTCCAGATAAAAGCATTGGACGTGTTTTTGGACATATTCTGGAATGTGTTTTGTGCCGAAGATGCCTCATATCTCCCTGACCCTTTAACGGGTTTATGGTAATAATAGTGCACAGGACACATAGACATAGCACTGGCTCTGTGGGTAAAGCTGACCAGGTGTGGAACATATTTAAAAAAACAGTGATCTTATTGCCTTTTGCGTGAGTTTTGCTCCTTAATTTAAACTGAACAAAAAAACAGACCTAGTCTGACCCATCTGCCTCCACGCAACTTGTTTTCTAGGCTTTTACTCCTTTATGTGCCATCATTTATAGCAGATTTGTTTCTGTCCACTCACCAGAATCACTTCTACGATCCCCAATTCCTAGGAACCTTGTGGGAGTGCTTGGTGTTGAGGTAAGGAGACCCTGTGTGCACAGTATTAATGGACACATTCAGCTCACGCAATCCTAAAGACAAAGATTTGTTTCTAGAAGTTCCATTTGCTGGAATACAGTTTTTAAACTAAGCGTGCTACGTCTTGTTTTCAGCCTCAGACCATCTCCCAGGCAGCGGCTTTCACCGAGGCCTTCCTCGCCAGCAGCGTTCAGCACCCGGAGCGCCACGACGTGAAGAACATGCTGACTCACAAGGCTGTGATCCTGAGCTACGCCAGGCCCAAGAAGGAAAAGACGAAGAGCAAGAAAGCCAAGGGGCTGAACGCGCGTCAGAAAAGAGCGATGAAGGTCTTCCAGATTAAGCCCGAACAACAAAAGTAGGTCGGAGCCAGACAGATGTGGAGCCATCTCTCGGCTCCAAACTTTGCTTTGTTTTTCTACACCTTGCTCTGACCCAGACTCCCTCCACTCTCTCCCTCCCTCCCTTGCAGATACGAGCTCTTCCTGCCTTTGCATCAGCTCTGGAGACAGTACATTGTTGACCTGTGCGGTGGATTAAAGCCAACAAGGTGGGTTGGTGGGAGGCTTCGACCATCGCTTATCCTTCCTAAATCTGAACAAATGCACTTACATTTGGATGTGTTGTTGTTTTTTTGCAGCAACCCTCAGATCCTGCAGCAGAAGCTTCTGAAGGCGGACCTCCACGGGGCCATTATCACAGGTAGATTCAAAGTGATCCGAGCTTTGCATCCTGCTGTGATCACTGACCGTGTCCTGTGTCCTGTTCGAAGGATAAATCAGTCTCTGAGTTCGCTGTCACTCGGGGCCTTCGGGTTTTTGCCAGGGGGAAGTTTACAGGGGGCCAGAGCTGCCTTGCTAACAGTTTTTCTTCTGGAAAATCACATGATGTGTTCTGCCCGGTGTTTGGGAGTTTTCAGATGCACTCAGTCCACTTGGTTTTTAAATGTTCTTTGTCTCATTAAAAACTGAAGATTGGTGATAGAGATCTGCTGTGTCAGATTCAGGATCAGGCAGAGAACCGGCCAAAAGAAGCAGAGTACAGAGCATTTCTCATGTATAGCTATAGTGACTACCTGCCCGCGCAGTTCTGATCATTTAACCCCGTCTTAAAATGAATGACGGGGTATTTCACCATTGATGCCGCTTGGTTTTTTTCAATTCACTTCAGCAAACTGGGCTTTTTGTGTCTGTGTTGACGTTTAAAAACCCATTTGGAGCTGCGAGAGCCTCCAGCCGGGTGCCAAAGAGCTGCCGCCTTATCGTTTCAGTGGTCCGGTCCAGATGCCCGTCCTACGTGGGGAGTACGGGGATTCTGGTGCAGGAGTTCAAGCACGTCTTCAAAATCATCACCAGGGAGGACAAACTGAAAGGTGAGGCCTGGATGGGACGTCCACTGACCGCTAGCTCGGGGCCGGCTGGAACAGGCCTAGTTGTCTTTCCGCTGTAGATTTCTATTCCAGCACGATCCTGACACCTCTTTTTCTCTTTTTTTCCCCTCTCACTCGTCATCTCTTTCGGACAGTGATTCCGAAGAGGAACAGCGTGTTTTCCGTGGAGATCAACGGCTTCGTGTCGCACGTCTACGGGAACAAGTTTGAGCAGCGGGCCAGCGAGCGCTCGGCAAAGAAGTTTAAGGTGAAGGGAACCATCGACCTTTGATGGCTCCCGGATCCGTGTTTCTCACATTGAAAGGACTGGATTTTCAGAGGAGCCCCGCTTGTGTTCGGGCCAGAGATCTGCACAGGAAGCCTTCCAAACTCTGAGAAAAAAAGACTGCCCTGCTCTGCTCGGCTTTCTCAGACATCAGCCCTGTTTTCATGGAGAGAGACGTTTGAACGACATCTCCAGACTTTCTGCTGGTTCCCCTGAAGGTTCGAAGAGGAAAATGCGACGTTTTATCTTATTTTTAGTCCACTTTCAAGAGAATGATGGTGACACAGATGGTTGTGAGTGGGAACAGAGCACAGACTGGGGGTATGGGGAGTTGTTTTTCGAACTGCGTGTGAAATACTTCGTTCATCCCACTGATGTTTTGGAATTGAGAAGTAATTTGTTTTGACAGCACACTTCTGCCTGGCCATAGAAAGCGTTACGCAAAGCTTCCTCGTTTCTGTTTTTTCGTCTGAAACGTGTTGCAGGGGAAGCTTCTCCGAATAAAAGCTGTTGATTCGTCATGGCTCCAGTAGAGAATCTGGCCATGCCGCACTGAGCTGGATCTAATAGCGGTTTTAGCCTCACACGGGGCTGTTATGGTTTCGAATCCAATAAGGCGGCAGGCTTAGGCCATAAGTTTGTGTTTTTTTTCTATTTTTGGGGCTCACGAACCAGGCCAGGTGGATAGAGTCCTGTCACTTTGTGCTCATTCATTCAGTAAAATGTCTGTTTCTTCTCACTGCAGAGCAAAAAATGTGATCATTTGCCCCACTGTAAGGAAATAAAACTCTCCTAAATACCAGCTCATATGTTCCTGAAGCGAAAACGCAGTGTCTCTGAAACCACCTGTTATGTAAGAGCGGGCGTTGGCACACTCCTCTCCTAATTATTGTGCAACGCTGCTTTAGAAAGCCCCATCCCGACAGCATAAATACTTCCGCGGGGCCCCCAGAGCCGCGAGAAGCACCAGAGAAAAAAAAACTCAGACCAGACTCGACTTTTTTCCCAAGCGTCCGTCGCCTCGTTCCGGCAGCGACCATGTCCCAGCTGAACCGCGAGCGGATCCAGGCCATCCAGAGCTCGTTCGGCCCGTCGGGGAAGCCGCTGTTCCGGGCCGCCCGGGTCCTGGTCGGCGAGGGCCGGCTGCTGAAGCAGAGCCGGCGGGGGCCGCAGCCCAAAGTCTTCTTCCTCTTCAACGACCTGCTCGTGTACGGCAGCATCGTCCTGGACGGCCGCTGGTACAGCAGGCAGCAGATCGTCCCTCTGGGTGAGTGAGAAAAAAGGCTTCGGACCCGAATCCGGCTGACTGTGCTCACCCTGACCACTTCGTTTGGTATTTCCAGAGGACATCCTGCTGGAAGACCAAGAGGATGGTGCCACGATGAAGAACCAGTGGTTGATCTGCACCCCGCGCAAGTCCTTCTACGTAGCCGCCGCTTCCCCCGAAGAGAAGCGGGCCTGGATGGAGCACATCGAGGACTGCCGGGCCCTCCTGGTCCGGAAAAATAGTGGCCATGATGGCGGTGGGAGGGCGCCCTACGCGGCCCCCTGGATCCCCGACGGGGTGTCGGGCACCTGCATGCGCTGCCGTAGCCGGCGGTTCTCGGCGGGCCGGCGCCGGCACCACTGCCGGAGCTGCGGGCTCCTGGTGTGCGGGGCCTGCTCCCGGGGCCGAGCGCCCGTCCCGCACATCCACCCCACCAAGCCGCTCAGGGTGTGCGACGCGTGCCGGGCCCCCGCCGAGGAGCCGGCGCGCCCCAGGGGGGGCAGCATGGGCAAAGCGAGCTCGGACGAAAACGAGGAAGAAGAGGAGGAGGAGGGCCAGGCGCGGCCCGAGCCCGGCAGCTGGCCGGTCTCCTGGGCAGCCGCTGTCCACCTCAGAGCCAAGCGACTCAGGCCCTGAACAGACACACACACAGGGATGTCTGGATGGACAAAGTCCACGTCTAAGACGTTCTCAACAAGTCACGATACACTATGTTTACCCATGTAAATTCTTCTGATATCAAGTACAAAACACTGCTGCTGGGACTTTTTTTTATGGTTATTGTCTACATGTCACAGTGGGGTGGTGGTTAGCACCGTCGCCTCAAAACAAGAAGGTACTCGGTTCAAGTCCCAGGAGTCCCAGGACCTTTCTGTGTGGAGTTTGCATGTTCTCCCTGTGTCTGCGTGGGTTCTCTCCGGGTCCAAAAACCTGCATGTTAGGTTGGTTGGACATTCCAAACTGCCTTTAGGAGTGAATGTGTGGTTGTTGGTCCTTGTGTGTCTCTGTGTCACCCTGCGATGGACTGGCGGACCGTCCAGGGTGTACCCCACCTCTCGCCCATTGACCACTGGGATAGGCTCCAGGCTGCAGACTAGAGCCTATTCAGCTACATTACTATCTCATTTCTGTCAAATAGGAGCATTTGAACGTATCTAATTATGACTAATAAAGAATGAAATGGACACAAGTATGGTCAGTGGTGATTACGTCTCTATATGTCTGGGAACAGATAGATTCCTTGTTAGTGTTATAGCCTCATTTCAATGTCTGGACACACTGATAATGACAGAGCAACCTGATTTTTAACCAAACCAACAAACAAGGGGCTTCTAATGTTTGTTTCCGTCTCACTGAATACTTGAATATTTAAGCTACCATGGCAACAAGTGAGCATCAAGTTTAGAGAAAATTTAAATGTAGGATTACCGGAAAGAATTTGAAAAGTGACAACTCAAATAAAAAAACATTTGTCTAATTTTAATGTTTGGTTTCTAGCAGTTTATTGTTGGTGGTGTATGGTTTCTAGCAGTTCAGTGGTAACAGATAGAGACTAACACTGATTGGAGATCAGTTTAGTCTTTCCGTAGTTACCTTTGCTCATGCCTTTCCCCCGTTCAAATGCATTTTTTGATGAGCCACAGCTTTGACTGTCCGACCTGTTTGGTATGTGTCGTTTGGGCAAGATGACCGTTTGACATAAAGACATGGTTTGAATAGTTCCAGAAGAATACGAAACTTCCCTCTCATCAATTAGGCAGAAACTGTGTAAAATATTCCATCTGCAACCTGCCAAGTCTTCAGAGTGGGCTTTTTATTTACTGGAGTACATACATCTGTAATTGGCATTATCACTATCACCTATTTTAGACCTATATATAGATACATATAGTTAATAATGTATATATTTATTTATATTCTGTGTGGAATTTTGTATATATACATATGTATATAGGTGTAAACATGAATATATGTATATGCTGTTGTTTTATTTCTGGAGTTAGTAACAAAAATAATTTCCCTCTGGGATTATTAAAGTATTTCTGATTCTGATTCTGATTGTGATATCATTTTGTGGATGCTTTGGTCACTGCAAAAGACATTCTTACGGACCGTGTCCGTATGATTTCAGAAATGAAAAGCACACCTGTATGAAGCCCCAAATCACAGTTTTCCACCATAGGACAGTGAGAGGTCTCAGAAACTGTCTGGTTTCAGATAAACAAGAAGTAAACGTCCATGGTGCAACGCTGTGGTTTTGACTTGCGTCACTGCCAAACATTGCAGTGAACTTTCAGCCTTTCCTCTTTATTCCATCTGCTTCGAAATGCAGTTTAACGAGAAACAAACGTCTCGTAGCTGAAATGGAAGTGAGACAAATCCTGTCCTTCATAGAGATTTCACAGTAAAGAGTAGCTACACAAGAAAAAGGAAAATGCTGAGTCATACTCCGGTAGCCATGTTTTCCATTAGAACTTGTGGCTATGAAGCCTCCTGGATCAGATAATGGCCGGAGTCTTGTGGAGTTAGTATGTTCTCCCAGTGTTTGCTTGTTCTCTCCCAGTTACTCTGCCTTCCTTCCACACTGTAAATGAACCCGGGGAAGGAGAGAGTGAGCATGTCCAGACATGTTTGTCTCATTTGTATTGAATGGGCCGAGGCAGATGTTGGAAAATAATGCTGATGTTTAATAGTCAGCATCAATAACTGTCTCATGATGGGGTCACCTGCACCAATCATAACCTCCTCCATGATTTGATGTAGATTTTTTCTTTCCTTTCATATGGCAACCTCCAAAGGATGTGATGACATTTTGTGAACTGACTACCTCGGAACAGCTGAAACTACCAGTGAATCATACGCAAAACGTGGTGACAAAAGTGGTGACGTGGAGCATGGACTTCTTAGAACCGGGGAGGCTTCTGGACAATGGGCTCAGTGACCTTCTGAAATTCATTTAATGTCCCATGGCAATGTGTGGAACAATAATAAGCAAACTGCTCTGATGTTTGAGGACATGCTTTCACTGATCGGATAGAGAAGTGCACCCCCTTCTGCCCACCTGAATTTACATTTTGTTGATGACATCTGCTGTCTACACTTGACGTAACCCATTAAAAGAATTATCCTGATATGCATAACCATGCATATCTTTTTGTCCTAGAAAGATACTTGCTACACTTTTTGGTATATATTGCCCTGTGACATTTGTCTATCTTTAACATGGTTAAAATCCTTTTTCTATTTGCTGCAAAGGTTTGAAAGGAAAAAAATCAAAGAATTTCTCCAAGGTTTAGCAGTGTCTAAAGACTTTGAGGTTTTATGATGAACCATCCAGAGCATCCTTTGCTTTATAAAGACCTGCATAGAAACAGCATAATCATAATCAAATTTCAATATGAAAGTACATTAAAAAAAAGAACTAAGAAACTGATTCAAAAGAATCATTCCTCTTGGCATAAAGTACTTTGGGACATGGGATAAATGTAAATATATTAGTTACCGGTATATTATATCAAGATATGGTAGAAAATAAAGAATAAACAGGAATACTTCAGAGAGAAGATCCATGGAATTCTACCAAACACTCTATGACAGTTTTGGAAAAACTATTTGCATTGACCATTTCTGTCCAGTTAATATTCTATTCACTAAATTGTGTTTGAGCCCAATCTCAACTAGACTCAACTAGGATTGGACCGGCCTGTCTTTGTTGATCAGCTGTGTATCACCCAGATTTAAGGCCGCTGGAATTAAATCTTTCCTCAAAGACCTGCTCTGGATCCTGGAGTCTTCTCTAACCACAGACTGATATCAAATCTCACTTTGATTTATAACGTTGTTGAGAAGCTTTGTGATCATTTCCTCAGAAATGTGAGTGTGTTTAGTTGTGTAACCCTCCTCACTCCGGCTGTCAAATAGAATAATTCCTTAATTAATAAATAATCAATTAATTAATAATCCCTGAACCCTACAAAGAATAAATAACCCATTTTCATGCTGATGATACTCAGTTATATCTTGGGGTGTACCACAGGATTTCATCATTTATCATATTTGTCTGAAAAACTGAAATGAGTAAGTATTACTTTGAGGTGATGTGGATTATAATTAAGATTATTTTGAACAACTTTCTGCCAACTCACTGGGACTCGCACAGGAAGTCAGAAATGCATCAAGCAGACCATTCAACCACTAACATGATTGCTTATGTTTAGAAATAACTGTAAATCAATAGAATTTGTCATCTTAATCAATAAATAAATTATGTTCTTGATTTTTTTTATAACAGGACATTTTAAATTTGCTTTGATGACAATAAAAATCATATTTCAGTGTTACAAATATCAGTTGGGCTAAAGTGCTTCTACATAATTGTGTATTAACTATTGCAGCATCTTAAAAGAATTACATCATTACCTAGCAGAAAGATAGAATTTCCCCTCTCCTCGCATGGTGTCCCTGTAAACACACACCCACCCCATCTGTTTTCATAAATCTCCCAGTTCTGTGAACCTTATTGGCCTCTTTCTTTCATTTTCTTTGCCCGACATCTGTGTTATACTTTTAAACTCATTTTGAATTCAGTGCAGATTTGAGATCTTTCTTCAATGGGATCAGTTGGAAGCAGCAAATAGGAGTTATTCAATTCAATTCAATTCAATTCAATTTTATTTATATAGCGCCACATCACAACAACAGTTGTCTCACAGCGCTTTCCAAACAGAGCAGGTCAGACCCTACTCTGAAGTTAACTACAGAAACCCAACAATTCCCACCATGAGCAAGCACTAGGCGACACAGGCAAGGAAAAACTTCCTTTTAACAGGCAGAAACCTTGAGCAGAACCATGGCTCAGGGTGGGCTGCCATCTGCCTCGGCCGGTTGGGGGTGAGGGGAAAGAGAGAGCAAGAGAGAGAGAGAGGGCGAGAGAAGGACAGAAGGAGCAGAGAGGGGCAGCCAACACAGCAACACGTAGAATAGATTAAAAATGGCAATGATATTAATGCTAATGATGAGCAGGAACATGGGGGCAGCAGGAAACTCCCAACCACAGATCCAGACTCCACAGCTCTAGGAACACCTGCAGGAAGTGATAGGAGGAGACTCCCAACCACAGATCCAGACCCCACAGCTCCAGAGCCAGGAATATCTGCAGAAAGTGTTAGGAAGAGAGAGAAGAGAGAAGGGGGACGAGAAAGCACACGACTACGGGGAAGGGAGAGAGTCCAGTTAGTAACATTGTTAATGGAATGAGGTTGCACCGGGAGGGAGAGAGAGAAAGGAAAGGGGAGCTCGGTGCATCATGATGCATCCCCCGGCAGTCTAGGCCTATAGCAGCACAACCAGGGGTGGACTTACTCTAACTATAAGCTCTATCATAAAGGAAAGTCTTAAGCCTACTCTTAAATATAGAGACAGTTATCAATGATGTGAATCATAATGGAGAAAAAAATGAACATATATTGTAAGAGGGGTGCTCTAACGAGACACTTCACATTTGTTTTTCTCTAATTTATCTTGTGCATGTGTACGTTTGTCATCTTGGAATCATGGAAAATAACTAGAACAGAACAGAAAACAATGTTGGAGGTAACAACCGAGCTCATTTGAAGCAAAATGAAGATAATAAATGCTCATTTAATGACTTCAAAGCAGATACAAATCAGCGATCTAAATGGTTGATCAGTTTATTATTTGAACTAAACTGAAATATTCATAGAATAAAAAATATTGAACAAAACAGGCGTAAAATAACTCTTAATTCTGAACCGAGTACAATTGCAGCAACATCCCAACAACATCTCACCCCGCATCCCAGCAATTAGGTCCACTATTTGCATTTTAATATCTTGTTATGATGAACAACTCAGCAAAGTCTTTCCAAATGACCGTTAGCCTTGTCCAAGTCATGATATTTGACCCCTGGTTTTCTCTCTTGCCGCTTTAGAGTGAGAGAGAACCCTGGCTCCTTATCCGTTCATCAGACAGGTACGGCAGCAGAACTGACGGTAGAACTTCCTCTCGCAGAGACGGTTGGACTTCACCATCTCACAAAACACCTCATCAGCTAAGAGATCAATGACAAAAACAGCAAAGGATCAGCCAAATTAGATGTGGGCGTGAAGGTAGGTTCTCAGTTGGTTTTTGTGTAAATCTGGTCTGCTGTGACATGTACCAACCATTTGTAAAAGAAGCTAACGGCAATAGTATCCATTATGGTCATATATTGACATTAACACTATATGTATGGAGAGATCAGACTCTTCCAGTTTCAGCTCCTCTTCCTGTCAGATCATATCCTAAACAGAACGGAACCCAAAGTTCCGCTCTGAGGGAACCGCTCAATCCCAGCTGGATGTTTCCAGCAGAGCTCTTTGCTCTCAGGCTGCAGGTCTACTGGGGGTTCTTGAGTTTGAAAGGAGAATGGAAGGCAGAGGCCCCTCTCTGTGGAACCAGCCTGGGTACTGTAGGCCTAGAGTGATGATGGTCCTTTGTCTGATCGAAGAGCAATCTGCTGAATTCTTTCACTAGGATCTTTCTCAAAGTGGCTCCATATTAACTGGATGTTGTTGGAAAATTAACGTCCTTGGACTTTGGTTGTTTTACAGTGAATTTGATTCTAACTGGATTGTATTTGTTGTGATTTGGCGCTACACAAGTCAAATTGAGTTGAATCAGCAAACTTCATAGGTAGCTTAAACATTAATAAAGCTACACTGCCGATAATACTTATGATAATAAGATATTCTGATGATGACATATCCATTGCTAACCAGGCTGACCACTACAGTATGTTTCTCACATTGACAGCAACTTTTGTGATCGTAGAGCTGGTTCCAGCTAAGTCCAACAGGAGATCTTCTGAAAGCAGGTCCGTTAAAGCCAGAAGACCCACGTGCACCACAGGAAATGTTTGTTTAGCGAACGTAGGTCCGAGCCGGACACTCACCGTTATTACAGGATGCGTTGACCATGCAGGTCCGGCTGATCAGACTGTAGCCGGCTTTACATTTGGTGCATGTTGTCCCCGGACCAGTGCAGCTCAGGCAGTTGTCCTCACACCTGGAAAAGCAGAGCACAACTGTGACCGAAGAGGTCAGAAAGACTGACCATGCACCAGGAAAAGGCTCGACAATCACACAGATGAAGGGATTCTTCTTCCAGCTACACAGTGAGGCTGGAGCATGTCGTTTGCTAATTCGGACGACTTGACCATCCACTGACTGTCACCCATGTCACATCTGGGGGAATGTCTGGTGTCCCGTCATGTCTTGATTACCTATTGTGTACACCTGGGGTTCCCCTCCCTCATGTGTTTAAATAGTCCTCGTTTCCCATGTCCTGTGCCAGTGTGTTTTCGTCCTTGTGAGTTTTTCTTCACCCGTCGCCACTTCAGGTTTGATTTTTGTCACAGCCATGCCATAGCCTAGTTTACTTTATTGCCATAGCCATGTTTTTGTCACAGCCATGTTTTTTGTCATAGCCATGTTTTGTCACAGTTCTGTTAATCTTGATTTTATACTTTGCCATAGCCTTGTTTACATTATTTGATACTTTGTGTTCACAGTCTGGTTAATCTTGCTTTGCTACTTTGTTCATAGTTTTGTCACAGCCTTGTTTTGAACCCATGTCTGATCATCCACTCCATTGAGTGCGTTTTTGTTACAATAAACCCCTTGGAACTCACCCTCTCCGCGACTGAGTCCTCCTCAAGATCCACCCCATGACAACCCATCGCGTTACAGAAAAGTTACGACGACAAACCTCTTTGGAGGAAACGACTTTAGGGGTAAAACTTTAGCAACCTGCGACAAATCTTGTGAGGAAGCCCGTCCGTCTTTCCGGAATAGTATCCAGGGGCACAGGCCTGCACGCATCTCCATTCCTGTTGCAGGTAGCCATCCACACACTGAATACACTCCTCCTTACCTGGCCCTGACAAATGCAGAGAGACACAAAAAAGCAAGGGTCAGAGCCAAGTCACCTCACACAGGACATTTTTCCTTTGCTGCTTCAATTTGGATTTCATTGAGACTCCATCGTTCCTTCAAGCCCACTGACCTGTACAGGTATTACAGGAGGAATGGCAGGGGCTGCAGGTCATCTCCTCCAGGTTGAAAAAGGTTCCGTTCGTGCAGTCGGGAACACACGTCATACCCGCCAGGCTGTGGAGAAAGACACTCGCGTTTAGACGTCTGCTTTTTAAAATGCGACACGTAAAAACCGTCCGTGTCGGCTCACCTGAAGCCCTCTCTGCAGGTCGTGCATCTGTCTGCGTATTTCAAACACGTCGCACAGCTGGCATGGCACTTCACGCACTGTCTCTGATCTGAGATGGACAGGATGCACAAGATTAAAGCCGGTAGCTCTTTTTACAGGAGGTTTCACATCTGTGTTTGGCGTTTTCAGAACACTTATGTGCCAAAATGTCAGTAATTTTTCTATGATAACTAGTTTTTTTTATTATTATAGCACTTCTCTTTTATTTTAATATCATTTAACTGTATTTTTTCCTTCTAAAATATATAAAATGCATTGATTTGAATAGACCATGTTTGAGTTCAGTTTACTACTTTTCCCTATCTTTTCAGAATCAAGGGTTAGGGTTATATCCATTGACATGCTAAATAGACACACAGCAGACCCCCGTATTGATGAAAATGAAGGCAGATCCTTGATCCACACGTCTGGATGTTACACAACAGGGAGAGGACATTTAGATTGCGGATATTTCCCACTCACGCTCTTCTGCAAATGAACCAGAGGGGCATGTGTCCGTGCAGCTGGAGTTGAGGGCGTTAAGGTAAAGGCCTCTTCTGCACGATAGGCAGCCTGCAGCTGATTGGCCGACGCATCTCTCACAACCTTTGGGGCAGCGTCTACAGCGGCGGGAGGATATGTTCCCGTAGTAGCCCAACGGGCAGTGGCTCACACAGGTTCTGCATCCAACGATATCAAAGGACAGTTAGCTTCTTGAGGACCATCGACATATTTCTTCTTCTGGTTCCTTTCTACGTACCGACCACTTTTCAAGCTGCCCAAAGTGAAGTGGATGCAGTTGAGACAGTGTTCGGCATCTGGTCCGTCACAGCCCTGGTCCCCGCATTCACTGTGGCACGGCCCTTTTATGAGCAGAACACTGACTGTGAGCACCATCATCACATGCCTCACTATCGTCATCATCAAATGATCCCTTTTTAATCATTTTAAAGAGTCTGCTCCTGTGAGCATTTTTTATTTCATTTTCTGTTCCAATAAAATGCTAAATATTCTAATACTGTTCCAACTTGTAGCAAATATCAGTACTCTAGCATTGAATTGAATATATTTAACCCTGTAATGCCAAATGTATCATATTTGATACATACGGTTTCTAAAATGTTTTGCGTCTGACTCCTTTTGCATAATTTAATGGTAAAAACTTTGCTCAAAATGCTATTGTACACAATCAGATATACCTGATAACAGGGGGCAGAAGACTACACAAAAAAGTATCTTGACTTATCGCATAGTAATAAATCATTAATATTGAAAATTTATTTCTGTTTTTTCTTTTTACATATTTTGTGTAAAAGGCCAAATAAGGAATTCAAACAAAAAAAAAGTAATTTTCTGTTTTGTTTTATTCTTGGGTCAGGCTTTAAAGGGTTAAACTAAGAAGTGGAAAGAATTAATCTGGTGTTGTTGGACATAGTAAGAGACCTAAGAACTTGGTTCATCTTTCTGTTTTCTGTGTGTCAAAGCATTCACTGGAAAGTGATTTCTTTTTATGCCCTCACCGTTGTACTCCTCTCCTTCCACCTCCTCCTGCAGATCTGGCTTCTCCAGGCTCTCCTCTGAAGCATTAGTTTCCAGCACCTTTGACTGGACGTGCTGAGAACTGGGATGCTTGTCAGGGCTGTCCGATGTCCCATAAAGGGTCAGAGTCCATTCCTTCAGGTTCCCTGTGCAAAGGAACAGCTATATGAACATTCCAGACCTAGTATTGAGTATTATTAACTGTTCGTGGACATTACCCAGCAGATCAGGGTTACGCTGCTTCGTGGGTGAGTCGGTAACCTCCAGAGTCCATGTGCCCTCGGCCCTCTCGCCCCAAAAATGAACCGTCATGAACTCCCAGTTTCTGAAGCCCTCTTTGGAATTGTCAAACAACCTGTAACAGCAGCCAGGTATGTGAGATACAGCTGTGTTTTCTTTCTACAAACCCCAATCTACCAGCTGGTAACGATTACCCGGTGGTTCCAGCTACGTCTGTCGTGTCTAAGGAGCGTTTCCTTGTGTTTCCACAGGTTGATCATCCCACATTTACATATCAGTGGGTGCATCTGGGGCAATGTGGGGTTCAGTGTCTTACATAAGGAAAATACTTCACAACAGGCACACACATCTGTACTCCTAACATCCCCAGAGGATACTAATTACAGATGGATTTAATCCTACTGGGGCTCTTTGTGTAACTTTGGAACAACAATATATGAATATTAACACATCTGTCTTTTATTTTTATTTAAAAAAATAAATGTTTAAAAAAAGGAAAAAAGAACATGTTTACTGTTGTGTAATATTGACCTAGCTCCATTTTTGTAGATTTATTTTGTAGATTGCAAGACGCTTTACTTCCTGTCAGAAAGCGGCTTAAACTGTGAGTGCTACTCTTGGAAAATAGAGATTTTTTTTTTCGAGACCTCTTGAAACAACAAACCCTGACACTGATAACTGTTATAACCAGTCCTGCCGTGCGCAGTAGAGGCCTCACCTTTTGGCCAGTAGCTGTGATCTCGTCCCCGATGGGGAGACGAGGTTTATCTCCAGATCTCCTCGTCGTGGGTGAGCGATAAACACCTTAACCACAACGTGCTCGAGGTAGTCCACGTGTTGTTCGGGTTCCTCGGAGCATCCAGATGTGGTGATGCTGCTGTTTAGCCTCTGGCCAGGATGTATATGCCTGCATTATCCATTTACACACATGTATACGTATATAAATATATGCATCATTAGATAGCTGTAGAGTTAACAAGGACAAGCACAAAACACTCATTAAAATTTTTGTACTTTTTAAAAATACATTTAAAGATATTCTTTCTAAAAGGTGTTCTAATTTGGCGAATCGTTTAAAGAATTTCTCTTTAGTTTTTTTTAGCATATATGCTACTCTGTCTCATCTTTGTCACCAAAAATTGAGTCATTTCCTTTTGTTTACTGGGTTATCAGATAGAGCTTTTACCTACAAGGAAGCTGTTTTGAACCATAACAAAGCTGCCGGAATACAACACCATAAGCTGAAGAATAAAAGAACATGAAAAATAAAAAGTGGCAGTATAAGTTTGTCAGAGAAGTCTGCGTTTATCACTAAAAAGTAACACGACCACATAATATACAGATGTAGTTACAGGCACGGCTCATGAAACATGCTGAGAAAATACTCTTTAAAAGATGTGCATCGAAACATGATCTCTACTTATCTATCTACATTTACATTCATGTCTACCCTTTTTTTATCTGTTTTTCTCTTTATACTTTTTATTTATTTATATATTTTTTTAATTAATCTTTTAATACATTTTTTATTTTTTATTTTTTTTATTAATTTGTTTATTTTATTTTATTTATTTTTTTTGGCATGTGGGTGGGGTGGGTGGTCAGGGTGGATTGGGGGTTGCTACGTTGAGATTGTATTGACACCTTGAATTTGTCCCAACAATTTCTGTCTTATGTTCAAAATGTTCAATAAACAAAGTAAAAAAAAAAAAAAGATGTGCATCATATTTTTTTGTATCCTTCGTGCACAAAATCCTATGTCTTATGGCAAATTTTTCCCCTGAGCAGCTAGTGAAATGCCTTGTGTGTACGCGTGGTGCTGCCCTCACCTGGTACGGCGCTCGGGCGTGTCACTGCAAACGTGCTGGGGAGGAACCGTCCTCCATTTGGTGGCCTCCAGCACCATGGCTTCCGCGTCCACCAGGCCGAAACCATACAGGTGGCTGACTGTGACAAAAGCATACACAATAAAACACACAAACCCCATCTTCTTCACTTTAAGGCATAACGTTTGTAATGTGTCGGCATCAGAAAAATGGACTAAAGGGTGCCTCTGTGTCCAGCGGCGTTGGTCTTCCAGTCGTCTGCCTTCAGGTGGACGGGCCTGGATGTCTTCACCAGGAGATGCTGCACATCCCTCCAAGTGAGTAAAAGACTGGAAAAAAACAAAAACAGAGACTCCTTTATCTAGTCACAGACAGACTTGTGGACGTTTTGTGTCTCTGTTTTAGTCCATTTGACATGAAGTTTGAATTCATCCTGTTTACTTGCTTGTTTTCATTTGTAGACTAATTTCTTTATGGCATTTGAAATAAGTTTTGTCTTCTGTATGTAAAGAGACAGTGATAAAATGCTTGCTCATAGTAAAACACAACTACCCCTAAATAGATGATTTCAATCTTATTGGCTAAAAGCTGATATGTCTAAATGTGACATCAATACACTCATGTGAAAAAGAAAGACTTAGACTTAGACTCTACTATATTTATCCCTTGGAATTACTCCTTCAGGGAAATTCTAGTTCTAGTAGCTTATGTAGAATACATTATAAATAAGTAAAAAATTACACAGTAGTTGGTATGTGTTATTGCACAGTGAGATAGAAGAATATTGCACATGAGTGACAATAGAAAGCACAGACTTCTTCATTTCTAATACTTTATAGATTAAACCACAACATGAAAACTGTCTGATTCTCAATTTTTATAAGAAAATGTAACTGAAAATTAAGAAAATAGTGTGTGAAAAACTAAATCCACCTTCAGGACTTTCACATGATTTGAAAGATTTAGTAAATAAGCAGGTGCCCTTAATCAACTGATCAGTCAACAAGAGCACCTAAAAGAAGCAGAGCCCTTGTCAGTTTGTTTGCTGGTCTGGAACACTTTAGAGTGCATAAATACATCTGGCTTTTTCCTAATAATCTGGTGTCCAGTGAACAGCAGTACATGTGAACAAAGCAAAAGGCTTCCTTTAAACAGATAGTGTCCATGTGAAGAGGTTAAACTGTAAAATAGAGCCAGATCCCACAGATCATTAAGGACACTGGTGCTATCTGGTGGAGGGGCTGAACATTTGGGCTTGTGCTGCCCAAATTTGGAAGTTGTCATTCATTGAATCAGCCCATTAGGGAATACTGTTGGGATTTACGTAAGACCTCTGGCACGAGAAAAGAAATTAGATAATGGGAAAAGTGACTCACTTTGCTTCCAGGGCAAGAGCTATGACTCCAGCCACGATGGGAGCAGAGACCGAGGTGCCCGTGTGACCGTCAGTGCACCGCTGCCACACGTCAGTGGTCACCTGGGAAGAGGAAACACGTTGAAATTTGGATATAAGAGAGGGGCAGAGCTGTCAGCTGACCACCACACGCTGCTGTGTACGATCTGCTGGCAGGGAAGGCTGTGGGACAGACCTGGTTAGCCCAGAATGTCCATCAAACCTTCATCTTACAAAAGAGATGACCTAAGAAGCTCACACATGTCAAAGGAGCTGTCGTTATGGTGGTGGCAGAAGCTAAATCTCAGGGATGGAAATGACTTCCGGTCGAATTAAGGGATATCCTGACAAAACATTTGGTGGATCAAAAAGGGTAAGTCTGGACAGGGATCTCCTTCTCTGACCCTAAACTAAAAGCTTCTGAGGCCCCCCCTCTGTGGCGACCCCTGATAGGAAAGGCCAAACTGTGAAAGCCACTTAAGAAAAATTGATCTAGGCTTTGAAAGTTGTTAGTGGACAAAAGAAAAAAAACTCCTCTCAGGCGTCAGATTTCCATTCAGTCCATTAAGGGGAAGAAAGATTTATTATATCACCACTCTTTTTCTTTTCTTTTTTTTTACATTTAACATTTAACTGCTAATGGCACATTGACCTGTCTTCACTTGTTCTTGTCATTTCCTGTTTTATTTTGAAAGCTACATCCCCTTGTTTCAGTTCATTTGCACTTCCCTGTGTGTCACCGGTCTGATTGTCTCCCTTAATCCCTGATTGTGTTCACCCGGGGTTCCCTTCCCTTTATGTGTTGAAATAGTCTGTGTTTCTCTTTGTCTTGTGCCAGTGTGTTTAGTCTTTTGACCAAAACTGAGTGTTAACCTTGTCTTCGTCCCAAGCCTTGCCTTGAATCCTTCCTTGCTATTCTTCGTCTGAGTGATTTTTTTTTGTACAGTAGGAGCCTTTTGCATTCCCTTAATTTGTAGTTTATAGCCTTTGACATCCTCTTTTCAGAGTTATCATTGTTTTGTTCTTGTTAGCCTTTTTGATATCCTCATTTTTTAGAGTGACTATTATTTTGGTACTTTGCCTTGTCTTCCACACAAAAGTTTTTATAAGATCTTTGCAACTGAGTCCTGTTTGAGTCTCGTTCTGCCAACTCTTTATTTCATTGGGGCCATTTGCTGAAATGTTCACTTTATTTCTCACTCATGTACACTCGGCACCCATCTAGACAGAAAAACTAATGTAGAATTTTATAAAATGTCTTGCAAAAGAAAAACTGAACTATCAGATGGTTTGCAGTGACACATATATTTAACATACATGCTGTCCATTTCTTCTGATCCTCCTTGAGATGGTTCTATTCCCTCATTTGAGTCCAGCTGAGTTTAATTCAACGGATTGGACTTGATTAGGAAAGCCCAGTTGGTCCAGTCTTTCTTCTTTTAATGAATTAGCTAAATTATCTACTTTCTTTTTTTTCTTTTTTTCTCAAGATGGGGTTCTGAGTGCACATTAATGAGAAAAAAAATTACTTTTTAAGTTAGCAAATGTCTCCATTGAAACAGAGTGAACTTTTTAAGGGGTCTGAATACTTTCCGTTCCCACTTTATATCTATATATTTACTCATATAAATCATATATCATTTAATTAATAAAACAACCAACTGCATGACAACTCATTAAAAATACAGGGTTTGAGTTGTATATGTTAATCCTGAAACAAACAAATAACTCATCAATGCTATATGAGTCACTTTATGAAGGTGTTTGTGAATAATCTTAACGAGTATCCATTTTATCCATTACATCATATCTACATAGATTAAAGTAGATTGATCGGCCCATCTCCTCCTACTTACGATCTTCCTTTCCTGAAACTCTCCACTGCTGTAGGTGGTGGCCATGATGGAGCTGCAGACTTCCAGATACCAGGGCTTGTTTCCGTTTTCCGTGGTGCTGGATACAGAGATGGTGTAGATGCTGCTGGTGTAACCGTCGCAGGAGCAGTGGTCGCCCTGCCGGCCTCCATTACCCGCCGCCCAGACAAAAATGGAGCCCAGGCCTCTGCGGCCCTGCGTGAATCAGACAAACGGAGCCGTTTATTTCACCTACGTATAAAGAGCTCTGCTAACAGACTTTTCGGGTGGTTGTTTGATACCTTCCTAATGCCCTGCTCAAAGGCCTGCTTGGTGAGGGGCCCCGGCCCGTCTACGGTCTTGCCGTCGTCTTTCGGCCCCCAGCTGGCACTGTAGATGTGAATGTAGTCGGGTCGAATTCCTAAGGATTTGGCCTCCACTATGTCGGTCACATCCCCGTCCAGCATCCGAATCCCTGTATAAAGTAAAATGAGCCTCAATCATCCATCCAGGAACATGTTACCAATTCTTGGTTGAATAATAATTTTTAAGTCAGAAAGTGTCCGAAAGTATAACAGCATGTTTTAAATAACTAGCAGCGTTTAACAAATTTATTAACCCTATAATGCCAAATGTATCATATTTGATAAACACGGTTTCTGAAGTCTTTTGGATCTGAGACTTTTTGCATCATTCAATGGTAAAAGCTTTGCTCAAACCCCTGTTGTACACATTCAGATATACCTGATAACAGCCAGTAGAAGACTACAACAAAATACATTTTTGAATTATTGCACGCTAATTTGATCAAAATAATTTCGTTTTTTTTTTTATTTATGTGTTGTTGAGGGGCCAAAGAAAGACTTCAGACTTAAAAAAGCCAATATTCTTCCTATTTTTCTTGGATCAGGCTTTAAAGAGTTAAAGGATTAACACAAGTATCCTTTCATGAGTAAAGTTTTTACAATGACTTGGCAGTGAAACAATGTAGGAATTGTAAAAAATCGATCTTATTTTCATTTAGATGGCAATGCAAAAATCTTTAATGGAAAAAGAGGTCTAAACTTCCATGTTTCTCTGGATGTTCTTTCAGCACTGTCGAGAATTACAGAAAACCACATTTACCCATTTAACCCTTTAAAGCCTGATCCAAGAATAAAAGAAAACAGAAAATTCTTTTTTTGTTTGTTTTAAGTCTTTATTTGGCCTTTTAACAAAATATGTAAAAAGAAAAAACAAAAATGTTTTTTTTATATTAATAATTTATTACAATGCGATAAGTCAAGATTATTTTTTGTGTAGTCTTCTGCCCCCTGTTATCAGGTATATCTATCTGATTGTGTACAATAGGATTTTGCGCAAAGTTTTTACCATTAAATTTTGCAAAAGGTGTCAGACACAAAACATTTCAGAAATCGTATGAATCAAATATGATACATTTGGCATTACAGGGTTAACTGAATAGCTATTTTCCATATGTTTGTGGGAGGGTACTCTGAGGTTCTGACTCAAACCAGGTGACAATGAGCAGAGCGGATAAACGGACTAGTTCGGGAATGAGATGTGAAACGAACTGCACCTCCGATGTGAGCGTTGTAGGCGATTCCAACGACGCAGTGGGAGTTGTTGGCCGCCGCCGCCACTTCACCTGCACACCGAGTTCCATGTCTACATGTCAACAGAGCACACACAGAAACTACACCCTGATCAACAGCTGTGGAAAGCTTAATGCAACGTTCAGGGGGTGAAACGCTGAGTCAGCAACATCGAGGTTTCCGAGCATTCGTTTCTGTGCCTTTCTTTGCAGAGACAGCTTTTACGTATTATGCTGACTCAGCAGATGTATCACCGATGTGCTTCTTTTCTTCTCATACTTTGGTTACAGTAAGCTAATATGCTAAGGAGGGCCCCAGTGTCTGGATGGCATGAGAAATGACATTTAGAGAAAGAAAGGAAACAGATAACTCAGTAAATTCACACTATTTCTTAACAAACTGCGGTGGATTCCATTTATTATCTTGATTTCCATCACACATTTGAGTTTTTTAGTTAGCTCCAAACCTGGAAACGTTGAGCAAAATGTGTTTAATGAATCATCTCACAATGAACAAACTCACTGTAACAAATTAACCAATCATCAATGTTGGAGGGGATTATTGACCTTTACAAAGCCAAATGAATGCGGCCTGGAATATGACCCCGAATTTCGATCATTTAAAGAGGACAGGGAATGATAAAGGGAGAAAACAGTTGAGATTTAGTTCATTTCTCCTTTTCATTGGAGGATACGTGTACAAGAGATTTGCAAAGTAGTAGAAAGACTCAGAAAGAGATGGAGAAAGTTTAAACTATTTCTTCTTTTGGTTTCACTGGAATCTGGCATCAAAAAATGAACAAGATAAGAACGTAGTGGGATTCTCAGAATGGTGAAAACAATGTGTGTAGAAACTGTGTGTGAACTGTTTTTAAAAAAATGTGTGAGACAACAGAGCGTAAAAACAGTGTGCGAAACCATGTGTGGAAACAGTTTTAGAAAACAGTGCGTGAAAACTCTTTTTGAAAATGAACTGCATTATATAAATGTCCTATTATATGTGCAAACAGGCTGGAAGGGGCTGGACATGCTGCTGTGATTCTGTCTTACATGTTTTCACTGCGGGAGTCGTATCGGGGCATGGGGTCATGGTCGTTCCCATTCACATCATAACTCGCGAGATGGTCCTCCAGAAATTATATAGGAAGAAAAGCAGAGATTTATAAATATGCCAGGCAGAGGGACAGAGATAAAATGATAATCACATTAAAGCATAGTTCATCAATAGCGTCAATAGGTTCACTCAGCCACTTCGGTACATTTCCCAGATCACAATTCAAATTCTTAAAACATCTTGTCCAATCTTCATGTCATTTGTAAGCATCAACAATTCTGTACAAAAAGTTTCTCTTTTTAAAAAATGTTCCCAATATTTTGGTATACATCTATGCAAATGGTTTTCCTTACAAATATGTTCAGGTTCCTACTTTTGTTGTGTTTTTTCTTCTTCAATGCTGTTTTTCCTTTTTGCATTGCAAGGACATGGTCTGTCATTTAATTCTAGATGAAACTTTGAAGGGACAAATGTGAAGATCATCCAGTTCCTTCCAATCAATCTCCCTAAGTTCCAACTGATGATGATTATCATCAAAACTTTAGCCATCATTTATATCGGTGAACGTTTCCACACGGCTAAGGATTCAGAGCAAAATACTGGCTTTGGAAGGTATTCCATGGTGTTTCTTGTTTTAAAAAATGCATTTATCATTTGGCAAATGTCTAGGATGACTGGAGAAATGTACTAAAGCGACCGAGAAAGACTGTAAAAAATGGAGAAAGGCACTGATGCCCTCAAAAATACATACATAGTTCTGAATCAGATCTGGGTGGGTTCTTTCTATCCCGTCATCCAAAATGGTGACCACCACATTTTTGCCTGTGTAACCCCTTTTCCAGGCGGCCAGGACGTTCATCTCTGAGCGGCAGGGCTTGTTCTCATCATTGCAATGCTGAAGAAAGAGAGAGAGAGACAGACAGACAGACAGACAGACAGACAGACAGACAGACAGACAGACAGACAGACAGACAGACAGACAGACAGACAGACAGACAGACAGACAGACAGACAGACAGACAGACAGACA